AGATCAATTCGATTTTAAAAGCCATAAATCAAATCACCGAAAAGGTCCTCATATTATTTTTTTAATAAAATCGTTTTTTTACTGTTGTATACAAAATCCACGTAGGTAGATTTAATTTTTACCAGGTAAATGATATTATAAATAAAGTGCGTCACATACAACCCAAAAAACATTAAAAACCTGATCAGAAAATTTTATTTTTATTATTATTCTCAAAATTAATAATTTAATTGTATTATAATTTTAAAATTTATAAGGTATGTATCATGTTTGATAAACCCAATTTTAGTCACTAATTTAATTAAGGCACGAGCGAGCTTGAGAGCGAGCCTAATTAAATGAGTGCCTGGAAAAATTTATAAACGAGTTTCATTCGATGGTTTTTCCAAGACAAATATTATTATTCAAAAATGATTTAAATTAAATATTTTATAGAGCGAAATCTATAAAACAGTACAGTAACCATTCTTGGAAATCTGTATTAGGTACATGCGCGCAGAAAATGTCAAATTTTTATGTGTAAATCTTAAAAATGGACCGTTTAAATACGATATAGAAACAGATTTTCACAGTAAAAGTAAAAAAAATGTTTTTTGGGCACTCCACGGTGGAGTCTTCACCCAAAATTAACTTAAATAGTATCATGTTACTAAACATAAACGATAATGGATGTTTTAAAGGTGGGAGTAAAAAAATATTTTAAAAATAAAATGTTGTTAATTAATACCTCTTTTAGGATAATTAATAATAAAACAATAACAATTAACGGAATAGTAATAATTGAAGTATTACATGTATTTAATTAATGACCAAGATGTAGGAATTTTTTTATTTTTTTAGTATAGTTTTACTAAAATATGGAGAATTTTTGATTTTTATTTACTCAAGATTTTTTTCTTAAGTAATATCATAAGGGCATCTAATTTTTCCGAAAAAAATCGAAAAAACACGTTGCTAAGTAATATTTTAACAAGAATGTATTTTGTTAAAAAATATTACTTAGCATTGTGTTTTTTCGATTTTTTTCACAGGAAAAATTAGATGCCTGAATGGTATTTGACAAGACTATTTCATGAGTAACAGTTAACAATTAAAATATAAATTGCGATTTTTGGTGACAACAGCTGTCAAGTTTTGCCGCGGGTAAACTCGAAAAAACTGCTGACAGGTGCTGTCACACAGTTTTTTCACCTAGAAACAATTTGTAATTCAAAATTGTCTTGGAAATTTCGCTCGCGGTATTATTTTAAAATTAATGGCGAAATTATCAAGAAAAAAACATTCGTATAAAAATCAAAAATTTTATCGGTAAAATTTTACCACTAGTGGTATTATATACAAAAAAACGCCCGACAACATAACAAATCGTTCCACCATATTTTCTCGATATTTTTTTAAATTTTTCGGCCTTATTCTTAAAAATACTGGTTTGTAACATACGCGTTTGACAGCTGATTATTATAAGTTGTAGTTTTGTTACAATGATAACGGCCACTGGTGGCGCTACTACAATAATATAATAATAATAATAAATTTATTAATCCTTTTGACTATAAAACAGAGTATAGGACAAGTCAATAATAATTTTACAAAAGTTTTAAATATAAATATTAAATATAAATACAACCTGTATCATGCAGGTACTAAATAATGAGCAGTAATAATACTTCTTAAGCGTATACGTTTTCAATTGAGATTTTACTTTTCTTAACGGTAGTGTTTATCATTAATGTGACGATTATACGGTGGTTTATTGCTTTCTTATAAGAATTTTTATAAAAATTAAATGACTGACATTTGTCATCGAATCTGAGGATGGTAATTACAAAAAAATTGTACTAAATTATTTAGTAAAATTGTGTTGCAATACTTTATTTTTATTCAAATGGTTAACTTTCTTAATAGTTAAATAATATACTAATATAACACCAATTGACTTACATCTGTGTTAACAAAACAAACTCTCTGCAGTCCTTCAGGCAGTTAATTTATAATTTGCTAATATTAGATTTTATTAAGCGGAATGTTCTATAAAATACAGAAAGAATACAGGTTTTGTTTAAATAAACTTTAATTTAACATAATATAATTTTATGTTAAATTAAAGTATATAGGTATGTATTAAGGTACACCTATAAAGTATATATAATGGTATACCTATTAGAAAAAGTAAGTAAAAATGTTACTGCCTAGCCATTTGTGGGTCTTTTTGCAAGGCTAACCGGTAAAATTGAACTTAATTTTTAAATTATATTTTATCTTAATATTGCACAAGTGCACTTAAAGGTTTCTAATGTAGGATGCATAAGTCAGTGTGATATTAATTTGTGTGATATTAGGTTCAAATATAGAAAACAAATTAAATAAGTAATCTATGTTTGTTGCTATAAATATCATTAAAAATATAAAAAAGGATATTAAAGGCTGTCAAGATACAGAACAAAATGATACTTATTTTTTATGACAGTTTAAATCAAGGCAATAAATGTTTTAAAGGTTAAATATTTTTACCTAATTAAAATTGATGAATTTGAAAAAAAATAATTTGGTTTTATTCCAGAAATATGTATATTAGCTTTCATAATTACCATTTTAAAAAAGGTCATTCCTATTTAATATTAACCCTATATTAGATCTATAGTGAATCAAATTTTAAATAAATTCAAATTAAAAATTAAGACTCAAAAACATTTCACATAAATGAGTCATTCCAAATAATGTGTGTTGCATAGTTTTATAGTTTAATAAAAAATGAGGATGACCTTTTAGGCAAATAACAAAAACCGCACCATTTAATTTTTGTATTTTTTACTTTCAAAAGATAATAAATTAAATACTTTTACCACCTAAACGTTGCTTTCCAGTACCTACTTATTTTCGTAAAGTATAAGTACCTAATTTAAAATTTTTCTCACCCAAAACAACAAAAATTTTACCCATTTTTTTCAATGGAATTGTCAATCTTTATAATTGTCATTAGGTAATAAGATAAAACGTAAATATTTAGGGAGGTACGTATTTTGAACAATTTTGCAACCTAAAATCTCAACTCTAAAAATAAGTGAGCTTATTTTGAAAATATTTTTTCATAAAGCAAATAAAGACCTTAAAACATCGTTTACTTATTCTATTATACAGGGTGTCCCATCGAACACAGTCCAGCAAGCTTTACGGCTTTGTATGCACAAATTTAAAAAAAATCGGACCCGTATATTTTATTGATTAGTACTTACGTTTTATCATATTACCTAATGACAATTATAAAGATTGACAATTCCATTGAAAAAAAATCGTCTCAGAAGCAAACATTAAGAAGGTACTTGGGAGTATTTATATTTATTTTGGACATTATTTTACAAAATAGTAAACGGCGGTCATTATCACCTTCATGCAATTCTTGAAGAAGTTGAATTTTATATGGGCGCCATTTATTATGTTTCAGAATTCTCTGTACGGTGGCCCGCAAAACTCCCGTTACATCAGAAAGTTTTCTGGTACTTAATGTAGGGTCTGAAGGAATTTCGACCAAAACAGCTACTTCTATAGTATACTGCCTTATTTTTCACCGAATTTCATTTTCACATTGATTTTTCAAAATTCAATAATTTCCACTTTCTCTGCAATAGATTAAACTATTTTTTATCGAACCCAAAGAAAATAAAAGCACAAAAATAACCAAATATCCACAATAACTACTTAACTAAAGATACAATCTATTTGTCTACTGATATTTCTTTAGTTTAAAAACAATTTTTTAAACGTATTTTATGCTTTACGAATTGTAAATATAAAAAGCGGTACAGTAAAATGTTTGGAATTCTATTGCTAGGTAGCGTAGCTTAAATTTAAAAAACGAAAAGGAAATTTAATGCCCTATCAAAAGATGTATCACAACCTAAGGAGTATTTAAAAAATTAGAATCATTTAAAAAAATTAAGGGTGAATTCTACCCCCGCTAAGGCGTTGAAGTTACCGTGATTAAATTAATGTGTAAATATATCGCCCTGAAAACAAAAGTATCTAAAGTTTTTTTTTATTTTTACATACAAGGCCGTAAACCTTTCTGAACTGTTTTCGATGGGTCACCCTGTATAAATTATATAATATAACTATTAAATTCCTAACAAAAAGCAGCTCTTTAAAATTAGTAGTATCTGCAATATTAAGTATTAAAGGACAAAAGATAATTTTTATTGTTTTTACAATGAAAATGATCTATTGTCCTTTATAACTTAATATTGGGTTTGGCTTAGGAGGTCAGTAAAAAAAATACAATCAAAAAAATTTCGAAATAGAAAAAGTTGTAGCCCAAAAAAAGGGGTATAAAAATGACACAATTTAAGATTTCAGCCAAAAATAAAAAATTTAATAGGGTCAGTTTTTCGTATTTAACTAAAAACTCATTCCTTATTTTTTTTTCAAAATCTGAAACTATTCAGTACACATTTTTGATGTTTTTATGTGGAATAACTTAAATACACAATATTTTTTCAAATAAATATATGTGACGATAATCTTATATACACAAATCAAAGTTGAAAATGTATGCAAAGTATTAAATTAAACATTTGCTACTATTATTAAATAATATAACACCGCATTTAACCACAATGTTTAATTAAGGAAAACATTATAACCCGTTTGGATTTTTCTAAAAATGCTATTTTTAGTTTAAAGTATCATAGTGAAAACCATTGTTTAGCCCTTAGTTTTATAGTTAAGCAAAAATTGGTTTATGGCAAATTAATAATAATAATTTTTTCATCAGTAAAACAAAATTACAAAGTAAATATTGCTCATATGATTAGTCACACAAAAATAAGTATAAAATTTAAATGATAGTTTACCCCCAAAGTAAGCAAGTTTTTTACTTTTGCACTAGTGCTACTATTTTGAAGAAAAAAATTATTGAAATTTACTTAGTTCTTGGACAATTAATGTACCCTGTACCTATTAGTTAAGACCTATGAAATAGAAAAATATAGGGTATAAATACTTACAAAAATGCAAAATCGCCTCCAATAAAATCGTGTTTGATACTAAGCTGGCAAGTTATTTTGTTAACTTCAGCTTTAATCTTAAATTGATTAACTGTATTTAAATCTAGGAAATCATCCAAAATATTTTGTAAGTCCTCATTCGTACAGGAAGATGGTATACAGTATGTGTAATAAAATTCATTTCTGGGTACTCTAGATGGGTCACCAAGGTGGCTCTGAAATATAAATAAATATTGTTTAATGATAATTTTTATAGTAGATTATGTAAAAAGTTTAAAAACGGCATTTAAGCCACAAGTTTAAATTAGGTAGTTTGAATGAATTTGACGAAATTTGATCGTTGACAATTCTGTCATATTATCTCAGAATTGGGCCGTGTATGCCTGGTAACGACAACATTTTATACACAATGAGGGGTTTATTATCATTATTTATTATTTTTATTTTGATTTCTTTTTGTTGTTGTTTGTTTTCCTTTTGGTTTTGGAATATATGTCGACAGTTGAGTAATTATTATTGTTCGATAATGGCTAATTATTTACAATCGTTTTTTACTAAACTTTTTGAAATGTACGTACAGTTCTTCTTCTTCTTCCTTGGTGGCCAAAAGCCTTAATGGTCTCGGTTTTAATGTACCATTTTGACCAGAAACAAGTTTTATCGTCCATGCGTTTCACGAAGCCATCCACTCATAGACACGTGAAAATTCCAATCTTGGAACATCCACTAACTCTTATGTACAAATCACAAAATAACTCGTTAAAAGGTGAAAGCTTGCGATATTGTCTGAAAATACAGGTATATTTCCTTACCAGGAATCCAATTTTGTCCCACTAGGTCGAAAAGTCATCTATATTTCATACTTTTCATTGAGCGATCCGCAGACTAGCACCAACAAAACCGAACTCTACGTACAGCCTTTGGAAGGTAAAATCGGAAGATTATCACAACATTTAAACTATGGAAACGTCAAACTAATACTGCAAAATTGGACCGTGAATGGCCGGCTTAAGGCATTATTTATTTGTTAAACGATAAATTAAACGTACAATAATATTAATTATTAATAATAAAAGTAGAAAGTAGCAGTGGCGCCTCGTAGGGTCTGGAAGAGGGTGGGAACAAAAACTCACCCACTAATTTTTGTAACTAAAGTCCATTCTTCTATTTTTCATGTGAGAAACTGAATTTTTGTGTTTCTTAACCCTCTCTGCGATGTGTTTTAAATCATCTAACCCATGTTTATTCCACGCACGTAATTTTTTTTTATATTAAGCACATAAAACAAAAAAGCTTATTGGGTTGGGTTGAATATCCGCATATCAACTCGATTTTTTCATAGATATTTCTGTTGAATACTCGGCCTTTACCTGCAAAAGTGTAGTATATTCGAAGATCGGGAATATGTCATCCTTTTTTCTTAATTAAAAGTTTATCTTCTAGTGACATCGGGCTTTTTAAAAGATTTTGCACACAACCTACTTTCTCTCGTGCCATTATTGTTATTAAAAATAAAGTTTATTTAAAAAACAAAGCACGTAATTCACAACGGTGCGTGGCGACAAAAAAGTTAGAAATCAAACAAACGGACACAGATACCAGCTGAGCGGTTCAAGAGACACTGCGTTCGGTGCCCCAAATATATTCGCGTACTGAGAGGAGAGCCGAAGATCACCGAATCATACTCGGAATAGGTACATTTCAAATTGTGCCCCGGCGTCGCGCGCTGAAGCGTTTGAGCGGACGGAAGGAAGGTTTGAGACCATCCTTAAATAGTAATTACAATGGTGTTACGTATAACTAAAATAATGCACAATGCAACAAATAATTCTTATTACGTTTTATCTGGGCTGTTGGGTGAGCACTTGCCCTTGTGCCCTTTAGAACCAGCCGACACTTTCAAAGTAGGGTTAAAGCGATCTGACAGTACTTGAATATTTTCATTTCTCCAAACAGTTTTTTTACAGACTAGGAGGTAAAAAACTTTACCCGATTGGTCTAAATAACTTTTACAGTCTAGGCGTTAATTAATCACTTTAGTAGTAGGAGATGACAATAATAAAGTTTAAATTATAAAATGCTTGAACGGTATTTAATAAAAAATTAAGTTTATAAACCAAATTGCATCCTATAAATCGGACAAAACACTGATACTACATTGCCGGGCTCCAAATGTAAACATTACTGATATATTTAAAATGTTAAAGTTTGTCCAAAAAATCACATCCTTATTTGATAATGTTTTAGTTTCTATAACAACTAAAATAAATTAAAAATTGTACCTACACAACAAGGAAAACTATTTAAAAAACAAATTAAGGAAGTAGGTACTTAATATCTAGGTAATCACCTAATTTTAATTTTTGGCAAAAATCCTTTATTTAACAAGTAATTAAAATAGTAATAATAATTAAAATTCTCGAATTTGTGGAATAATTTTGGGGGTCAAAGAAATAATTAAAATTCTGTTGAATCAAACTTTGTGTTACTACAGCACTATTTGGATCTTATTTGAGAAACTAAAAAAGGTACCTAATTTATAATAATAAAAACTATAAAAAACAATTTAATTAATTTAAAGTATGTTTATGATCTTCTTAGTTCGTGCTAAAAATGTTTTACAGTATATCCTATTTTTCCCAATTTTTTGTAAATTTATTATTACTTACAACAAAGTAATAAGTTTCCTACCTCTTTTATTTTTTCTACTATTAGGTACTTATAAAAATTAAAAAAAAAATTGCGGAAAAATGAAAGATAGATAGGAAATTCTGCTTTGTTCTGTGAACTTAATACTTTGTCGTTAGTGGCCACCAAAAAAATCGCGCCTTCCAAAATTTTCCGCCGTAGACTATAGGCTAGCTACCCTAATATATTAATCTTGGCATGTGTAAATAATAACAAACAAACATAATTGAAGAGTTCAAGACAGGAATAATCAATTATTTTTATTTCCCAGCAAATAATTAATATGTTTAACTATTATTACTAATTATTGTTTATAAGGTGAAGTCCTATGTTTAATAATTTACCATTAATATATAATAATTATTGTGTTTGTAATAAGCTATGGATTGGCTTTTTAAGTTGCCTTCTTCCGAATAATTTTGTCCAAACAAAACTGTAGAAAAACGTAAATATCTCATTAAATTAAGAGTGACCACAAAATACCCGCGACAAATTACCCCATGACAAAATACCCGAAGACAAACCCAAAATACCCGACATTAAAAATGTTACATATCATAAAAAAATAAATTGTCATTCCAACCTTACGTTTAAAAATATCCCAGAACGTAAATTAATGGCTAATTTGTTTAGATTTTAAAAATTATAATAATATTGTAGGAATAAATTTATTTTTATTTTTATCGATTTTAAAAGGGGTCAATAACCAAAAAAATCAAAAAATTATATAAAAAATAATTTAAATAAATTTATAAAAAATCATGTATAAATTTTCTTAAAGTTTCACAAAAATTTAATTAACGATTTTACGATTTCAAATATTAAAAGAACAATAGTAGTAGGTATTTATTTAATAAATACCTCGTAAATAAACATTTTAACAAATTATAATACATCATTTACTTTATACAGGGTATAAATTATAAAAAATAAAGGACATGTGTCCTAAAGGGCTTACATTTGCTACAGGGTTTAAAATAAAATATAAAAATATAAAAATTATAATATTTAATATTACAATATAAAAAAAATAAATGATTCGCCCGTAACCACCCCTCTGACGAGGACAACGTCCGTTTTCATGTAGAATTTATCAGGCTAATCATATCAACATCCGCATAAAAAAATATCAGAGGACATGTATGCAGAGAAGCCACTGCTAAAGAAATAGAACAACTTTTGTAACTAAAATATTTACGTCCATATCCACACCAAAATTGAAAATAATATCCAACGTGCTTTTAGAGATAAATAACACTTTAAAAATTTTTAAAACCTTGTAGCACACTTTTTGGCCCTCAGGACACATGACCCTAGGACAAAAAATGTTTGTATTGGCGTGGCCTACGACCCCCTTAATTTTTTACTATATATTTCCCAACACCCTTTTTAAGCATATAAAAATACGAGTAATTAAATGCATAACACATACATTGTATTTATTGTAATTTCAGCACATAACACCTAATTTTCTAATTTTATTAAAATATTTTAAACTTACGAAGATTTGATCCAGCATGGACTGATTGTAAAACTTTCTGTAGTCGGATAAATGTTTCTTCTTCTTATATTTTTTCGGTGGTTCCACGGTAAATTTGGCTAAACATGGTCTTCCAGTAAACTCTCCGTACTCATTAGGAACCACGACTTCAATACACTCATCATAGTTGCCAAAATCGTAAGTTTCGCCGTAAAGCCTACCACTTGAAAATTTTGTAGAAGCATCAAACACTAAAAAAATCGCAAATAAATTTGTATGCAAAACTATTTTTAATTTCCACGCACTATCCGAAGCCCATATTCTAAAACTCTTTAGATCCTTCAAGTACAAAAGAGTGTGGTTCTTGCAAATTGGATTCAAGGAATCACTGCTTTTAATAAGAACCTCAATCGCGTCAAAAAATTCCACATTTTCATTATCGTTGCCGAAAAAGGGCACGTACCCCAATTTTATCGCGGTTACGTTGTTGCAAAACAAAAGCGTAACGACGGTCAAGCACGCTGGACGCATGATATACCCGCTGCGCAAACGATTGATTGTCAAATGTTTCACCACGATGGTAGTACCCAGCTTTTATGGGGGCTAGAAGGCTGAGCTTATATAGTTTTAATTAGTAGGATTAATTTATTTAAAATATTCATTAATTTACTTATAAAACAGTTTTTTATCTATAAGGAAATATTTTTACATTATCAATCGACTAGATTTTTATTCTTAATTATTAAAAAAAATTTAACTTTTTATTTATACTAGGTCCTTGGATTTAAATCATATTATTTTCATCATAATATTAATTTCAAAAAGCTTCATAAAATATATTGCCTATTTTAATTATATATTTTTTTATTTTATATATAAATATACAGGGTGTCCTAAAATCACCGCACCAAACGAAAGGGGTCGATTCTTTGCGAAAATATAAAACCAAATGGTCTTTATCATTCGAAAAATTGAAGGGGTTATTTTATTTTTAAGGCCATCAATGAAAGCGCAGTATGTGCTATATAGAGCAAAAAATGTTAAAGGAAATTTCGTCTAAGATTTTTAAAATAGATGTTAAATATAAAATAAATAAAAAAAACAATTTTATATTTTTAAATAGACAATTTATTCTGTGAAGCATTTTGAAATTAATATGGAAGTAATATGTTTCTATTCCTAACACAAAAATAAAAAGTTTAAATTTTTTAGGAAAGGTGATTTTGGGACGCCCTGTAAATTAGATATAAATAACTAAATATCCTGTAAAATTTTAAACTGGCACGCACGGCAGTCAACTAAATTTTTTTTAAATCAAACTTGTAATTTTTATAAAAGTTTTACTTAGGAAGAAACCCAGGTAGGATTTTTCTTTGGAATCCTGTTTAAATGGCTTACTACCCATAATAATGTCTCAAAAGTACCATGCTAAATCGTACCGGCGCGGCGTTGCTAAATACCGAAGGTCAAAGATGACGAAAAACAGTTTTTTATTGTCTAGAGAACTACTAGTCCTACGTAAATTTATATTTTTACATTTTTATGCAAATTTACCCAAAGGAATTTTTTTATTATTACCAAAATCCACGTAAAATCAGTAGTTTACTAGATTTTTAATTTTTAAAGATTCAGAAAATTTATTGATTAGGATAAAGAATAAAGAAAACCTTATATTTTGTAAAAATGTCAAATTTGCTTAGTTTATGTTTATGCTATTTTCAAGGAAAAACTTTATACCAATCCTTTTTTATAAATGGAGGAATTGGACGCTGAGGGCAGTTCGACGCGTTTCCCGGCTAAATATTAAATAATAACAATTGAGACTTTTACCAGAAAGTATAGTAAATATTGTAGTGCGGTGACATCTGCTTTATTTCAAGTTATTTCTAGTTTTGTGTAACATGACCTAAAATAGGTCATAGTTTAGGCATTGATTTAAAATATTTAATTGTAAACCATTTCATTAACTGTTTTTATTGCATTTTGGCTTGTAAAGATCTAGCAGGAAATTATGCGAAATATGCTCACAATTACCCTACAAAAAATAAATAGTAATAATTTTAATAATTTACAGATTCCTTTATACTTAAACTACAAAAAATGCCCGGAACCCTGATGAGATCCATATGGTAATAATTTTTTTCATACCCAAACCATATTGGGCCAGATAGACCTCCAATACTTATGGTTCAATCTGAATTTATATGGCAATTAATATAGAAATCACTCTTCTATATTTCCGTGTATGGAATTCTATCTGGTTCAATAGTGCAATGCCTGTTTCAAATTCCTATATTGAACCAGATAGATTTTTATTTTTTGTTTCTATAGGTATGGCATTTTTAATAGGGACATTTTATTCACACGTAAATGATGGAGCTCACGAACAATAGGTGGTTTTGATTTTCCGGTCAAATATAATGCAATAACACTATTACGTTTGAATTCCATTTGAAATGTTTGTTTTTAGTTACGATGTTTAGGGTTACGATGTAAAACGATATGCTTCCGTAGTAAACAACTTGACAGAATATCGGTTGTCAAAATATGACAACTCTGTAATCAACTGTTCAGTAGCTACAGCAGTATGAATTTAGTAACACTTCGAATGACGGACCCTGTAAATAAATGTTTAATTTGATTAATGATTAAAATAGTCAATGTTATCCCAAATAACCATTCTATTACCCCGTAGTGTGGAGAATTGTGCTTTTCGCTGTGCTACTTGGTTATACAAATAAATGAGAAATTGATTTGTTACATATAACCCTAAGGCTGTTTTCACATGATTCCATAACGATGCAATACATTGTGTGCAATAAATTGCATCGTATGGCATAATAATTTTCACAAATAACGGTTTAAAATTAATTTTCAGTGTTGCCAGTGTTGTGTAAACTGTGGAGAGGAGGCGTAGAGCTTTATAACTGGCTTTAATTGTACGTCGAAGAAGAAAAACTAGGCAAAAAGTAATTAATAAAAGTAATCGACGAGTCCATCCCGTCCATCCTGTCCATTCCGTCTAAATAGTGTTAAAATAATAATAATATGTACTTTATAAATTAAACCAAATACATAAATAATAATAAATAATAAAATAAATAATAATAAATCATTCAATAATTACAATAGTTTTAATTAAATAATATAAATTAATTAACAATTCAAAGCAACTAAAAGACAGAAAATAAAAGAAATAACCTAAGTAAGTTTTTGATTTAAATTTTCTTTTTGGAAAATAGTTTCATCCAAAATATTTTAAAATAAAACCATTCGACCGCTACGCGGTCTCGTGATTTTATTTAATTATTTTGCATTCAACATTTTCCAAGAAAACCAAACAAAAAATTACTGTAGTTTAGTCTAGTTTAACCTATTTAATTCATAGTTCTCGTCATATAATATATGATTATATCCGGTAAGACAATTGTAATTAATATACTGTGCAGCAGAAATCTATATGTGGATAAATAAACTATTAAATTGATGTTTAAATTGATATGAACTTTTTAATTTAAATTAACAATTTTTAATAATATTATTGACATAAGATGAAAATGAAAAGTTTTTATCAAAAACAACTTTAGAAAATCGCACCCATATTGAATCGCTATCATTAATTTTTAGCATAAGAAAACCTTCTACAATAAGCTAAAGAAGCATCGCTAGTAGCGCCACCACTCGGCCGTTATCATCGTATTAATTTCAATTCAATTCAATTCTTTATTTTTCTATTTTAAACAACATACAATAAATAATTAACAATTTATGTATTAATCCGCCTAAATCAACCATTTGTGTGCGGATTTCTTAACTTAATATATTAAGTTAAGAAATCCGCACACAATATATATATATATATATATATATATATATATATATATATATATATATATATTATGTATGCATAAGTATAAACAAATAATAACAAAAATAAACAATATGTATATTATAACTAGGACTACAACTTTTAATGATCAGCTGTCAAACAAATGTTTTTGAGAATAAAGCAGGAAAATGTTAATTTTTACCGGTTTTCCAATAAACAGTGTTAATCCGAATGAAGAAATAAATTTCATACAGTCCCTGTAAATATAAATTGTATCTATTAGTTACAATAAATATACATTTTAGTAATGATTAACGTGAAAAGTGTAAACATTTCAATTCAGTAAAAATCGTCAAACAAATAAGTCGTCTAAATTTAAACAGCATTTAGTATTATTAAAAGCGTTGATTAAGAAAGTCTCCAATCAACGGTAGAATACCATTATATTATGTATTATATATATAATATTATGTATTATATATATAATATTATGTTGCCATGAATTCGTAGGTATATTTTGTTGTTTAAAATGCACTAACCGAATTGGATCCTATGGCAAAACATGAAAATGCATCGATTTAGTTCTTGAATTTTATTTACAATTAAAAACACAATAATTCACAATGATCCCTTAGATAAAATACACACACTTACGTAACTATATAAGCATATAAGCGTTGAGTTTCCTAATCTATATAAGGAATAATTAATCGAAATCGAGTACTAAACCAGTTTTTTAGATTTTTCCCTTCAATGTTAAACACAAATAAGGTGCCCGATTTAGATGTGCAATTGAATAAAATTTATCTTCCTCTTTTTTGTCAAAAACTAGCTATTTGTAAATGTATTGTTGACAATTCACACAATGCTATCGAACTCCACTAGATGGCGCGCTCTTTGCGAAAACCCGATACTTCTTTAGCCTTTGATTTACTAGGGTTTAGTTTAAAACCGTGTTTATTACAATAATCATATAAAGAATTTAAATCCTTGTTAATTAAGTCAAAGTAAGTTTGTATTGGCATATTTTTAAATAGAGATGCATATACTTGCAAATCTTTGGCGTACATATGAACTGAGCAGTGTAAAAAACCGTTTTGTAAATCAAATACATATAAAGAGAAAAACAAAGGGCAGAGAATGCTACCTTGAGGCACAACGCAGTAAGTTTGTTTAATGAAGAATATAAATTTCTATTTATTGCCTTTCAGTCAAGGAACTTTTTACAAGATCCAAAGAATTAGGTTGGAAGCCCATATGATGCAGCTTTGCGAACGGTAGTTTAAAATTGACCAGGTAAAGGCTTTACTTTGATCTAAAAGTATTAACGTTGTCGGAAAGCCACTCTCAAACGATTTTCTATATCGTTCGAAACCTTAATTAACGTTCTGTTTTGCTGTGTTTCTGTCGAAATCCGGATTGTATTAGATGTAAGATGTAAGATGTTCTAAAAACTGAACAATTTGATCGTGAATAAGTTTTTCAAATATTTTTTATAGTGTTGGCAGGATTTATATAGGTCGTAAATCATTAAATGTATTTGGTAGACTGATTTTAGAAATGGGTAATAAATTAGAAGTTGTCCAAGTACTAGGGAATTTATTTTGGCCAATGCATTGGTTAATTATATTCTGCAACTCATTCATACATTATGGCATCACTTTCGATAACATTTTGATATTAATTTCATTCATTCTGGTCGCTTTTGATAGTAGGGTTTTCGTAACTTTTAAAATTTCGTTGATCGAAACAGGTTTAAACACAAAATTTAAATTGTTGTCAAGCTTATTGTTTCAAAGCAGGCATAGACCTGTATTGGTCAAAAAAATCGAAACGATAAAATATCATACGATATTAGTTGGACATATTTTATGAACAATATAGGATTAGCTTTTATGGTATCGTAAACGTGTGAAAACGATATGATATGAAACCACATATTTTTGAGGAAGGATTTCTGAAAAATTGCAATTTTTAACTAAGCGATCTTTTATGTCCAATTTTGGTCCAGTCTTTCGAGCATTTGAGGCGCTTTTTTACTAATAACTAAGGAGTTTGCATAATCCCACAAAAAGTAATTAAATGGCATACAATCGCACCATCTCGGTGCCGAAAGCCCTGGCCCAGTTCTTAATATAATGTTTTCGTTAAATCATGTCCTCAATCACTCAATAATTTTTAAGGAATATGAGACCACATTTTTTTTTTTATTAGTTCCACCCTTACTTCTTAAGAAGTCCCAGAAGCCAACTGAATGGCTTATGCGGGTTAGGGGTAGGAACGGACCGCGGGCGTAAAGTCCCCTCCGAAGGACTATTACACAATAGGACAAACACAAATAAACAGCCATACCCCTGGCGGGATTCAAACCCACGACCTCCGGCTTGTAGTCAGCAGCACTAACTACTAGTCCATATTATTCATAATGCCTCATAAAGCAAGGCATTTAACAAAAAGTATCGATGATTTTATCGCTAAAAAAAAATTGACAAATAGTGTATTAAATACCAGTTTTCAAACATCAAATGGGAGATAATCATAAAATTAAATCTTGGAGACCGTTTTAAAATGTATCTTCTATGTTTAACCAATTTACTAAAAGTTGTTTAAAAGTACTAGAATTTAAAAATAAAGTAATGGTAAAGTAAAACGCCAAGGACAAGAAGGACAAAGTTAAATTCCCGTCTTTATGTAGCATTCGTGCTGTATTTTTCACTACAACTATGCACCTTTTTACTGTCAAAACACATCGTAAAGCGACAAATCATGTTTATTTATGCGTCCAGTCCATATATTCCAAGGTATAAATTTATTGTTTCTTTCGGCGATTTTTTTAAATGCCAAATATATTAGTCAAACATTGTACGAAAATATATGTTAGGTGCCCTCTAGACAATAGACCCTTTGTTTAGTGTTTACTAGTGTTATCAGTGATATTAGATATTAGATATTATTTTACATGTTTTATTTCTATTTTAAGAACTTTGTTATTTTATAATATAATAAACTGTTGTTTTACAGCAAATGCCAAATGTCTGGATTATTAGTAATCCTGGCGTTTGCTGACATAAGGACATTTTTCCCTACTCTTACCTATTTTTGTTGTTAGTATATAAATAGGAGAGACCGTATTTTTTAGAAGATTATTATTATTAAAAACATTCAACATCTAATTGTAATTGTATTTTATAACTGTTAACTATTATTCATAAGATTATAATTCTAAAGTTTATACACAAGTTTAATTTAAAATATATTATTATAAAGTAAAGTGCATCTTAATTGTTGTTCATGGAAATATATGGAAGATAATTACAATTCAACACTTGTTATATCGTGTGATCAATAAAGTTTGCCCAGTAACCGACAACCCTTTTTAAAAAGGCCAACTTCACATCATTGATATAACATATATGACGCGCTTTGAGAAAAGGGATCTAGCGTTCCAGCGCTAAATTTAGAGGAGAAAGGAAAGATCAAGCGTTAGATAGCAGCACAAATGAGGAATTTTTAACTCGTCGTTACATGAAAATATCAAGGATTTATTTTTGTCTTTAATTAATCAATAACCACTTAATCCAGAAATTTATTTTTGGACGCTTAGGTCACTTTCGTTTGAACGCGTCACATACCTATAGTTTAGTAATTTAAAAAAGGTTTTTTAAAACTTATATATGAATATGATTATTTGGAATGGAATAAATAGCTTAGCTTTAGGGTTAACAGCAAACTACCTACATTACATTAGCTGAACTTCGCCCATTGACTGTATTTTGTTAATATTATTATTATTATTGTTAATAACTACTATTATTAAATAACTTGGTTATAAATATTATATTCTTTACAAGCATATTTCTATTAGGTACGTTAATCTAATAAAAAATTAAAAAGATAAAGAAAAATTAAGAACAAGTCTTGAGTGGTCCAGTGCAAGAACAAATAATTAAATTTTTCAGGATGTAAGAAAAATGCATCTATAAATTATCCTAATCCCTAAGCCAGGAGTAAATATAAAATTAAAACATAATGTATTGAAGGTGACTTCTTAGGAGAGTTTTTTTACCTGCGTGAACTTGTTTGGATATACCTGTTTTTTACACTGGACGCATCAGTTGCAATGGCATGAAGATTTGGTTTTGATAGTATTTTTGTAATATACAGGGGGCTACCAATAAAATGTTAAACATATATTTAAGACGCAATCAAGAGTCTCAAGAATAGAGGAAATAATATCCAAATTAGTTACAGCCCATCTAACATAATTCGTTGATGTATTTTTCATCCTATTAAATACACCTTTATTGACAAAATAGTTAAAATTAAGAAACCTAGATAAGAACCTATGAGAAAACCAAGCCCATCTTAGATCAATGGCGTCGATAATTATTTCTTTTAGGGGGGGTAACATATAAGAAAAATAATTTTGCAAAACTCCTTATTGTTTACCAATAAGAAAATCGAAGTATAATATAGGCAATAAATAAATAAATAAAAGAAATAAATAAATAATTATGTTCTCAAAATTGATAAATATTAGTTCTGTCAAATGTCCAAGGTAATAGTTGATATTGACAGAATATTGCCGTGTATGGCATTTCTATTCATTAATATTGCCAATCCCTGTATCAAGTATTTTGCCAACAATATCAAAAATAATTTATAATCTAGTTTTACAGCCATTCATAAATTACTCTCATATCTCATCATAAATTATCCCATTTATAATCTGTTTAGAATGCATAGCACAGTTTTACTTAAAGTTACGTCTGATATTACACCGCTTTTGACAAATCTGAAATAAGTGTTTGATCTTTTGGATAAAAGTTAATCATTTAAAATTTAAATTAATATAATTATCACCTATGACATTCAGAAGTTTGTTCCTCATTTAAATAAAATCTGTAAAAATATTAAATAGACAATAAAACTGACCCTTGTACAAGCTTTAATATAGATATTCAAGCATAGAGTATTGCTGATGCGTATATTTTAAGTAACTTACAAATCACAATAAAATTAAAATAATTTGATTACAATAAAAATAAAATTAAAAAAAACCTTTTGAATGCAATGTTATTTTTTGTAAGCAGAATTGTTAAATTATTTATCCAAAATACACAAAAATACGCCATAAAGTCACAGGTTGTCAATCTGTACTTGGTGTACGATAATGAGCATTTTAAAGGAGGAAGTTAAAAAAATAATCAAAGGTAACTTTTTTGGGCCTAGAATTTACTACAATACTGTAATTTATTCTGGACCTACCACAACAAAGTACTACCGTAACAAGAGTACAGTACCTAATGCAATTTTATTTCCAAAAAATAAAATTAAAAGACTTGCAGCTTGCAGGATTTTTTTTAATACTTTCTACATATTTTATTAAAAATAGGTATCATTATAATCCTGCTAATTTTTTGCTCTAGGAAGGTCGCTGTTTTGCATACCAATTTCTCACCAAAGTTTTTGTATTTCTGAAATTTTACTTCCTTATTGCTGCACAGCACACCTACTTAATTTTTAGTAAGGAAATTAGGATAGTTGTTTTAAATAAAACAATTCGTTTAATTACATATTTATTCATCATTTCTATTAGGTCTAAAAAAATTAAGTAAGGAATCATAAGAATAGTTTTCCAGTACTTTTAGAAGTGTAGGTAGTTTCGATATAACATTGGCTCCTTGTAACTTAAAGTAATTTACATATAAATCACTTATGGTACCTTAAAATAAAAAGCACCGTATTAGAAATTTCAGTTTGATTTTTTATGGATCATAGTACACGGAGAGAAAAGTATAATGCTGATTACCATAATTATTAATTTATATTACTACTGGGACAACTATCTTGTATATTGCCAGATACTATGCATATTTAATAATTTTTAAATATCCATGTATGTTAAACCTTTAAATAGGTAAAAGATTATTATTCTCAACCAATTTTGTTTTTAATTCTTATTATAATTAGATTTTTTCCATTACTAATAAGTATGGTAAATTTTAAAATATTACCTATGTTGCCATTTTAAATATAAAATATTTTAAAATCGAATATTTTTATATGTTGACAATTAAAAATTGTAACATATTTATTGTACTTTTTAATATACAAAAATGTTATAAGAAAGAATTGAACATACACCTCGCCAAAGTTTTTTGTTTTGAGTGCGTTCCATCAACTTCAAATACCGACAGACAGGTGTTTTGACCTATATTGCAATACCATACCCATGGGTATCATCAGTGTCGACACGACACTGTCGAGCAACTTGTAGTAGTGGAACACACCCAAAACAAAGAAATACCTGAGCTCATATAACATGGTTGGTAAGCCAACAGAGGCGAGATGTAAGTACATCACGTGATCTACACCGTCTAACGACGCGTACCGCAATCGGTACATACTATGCAACCAAGTAGGTTCAATTTTTTCTTATAAGTATTACCAGTAATGGGTCAAGAAAGTTTATTGAAGAAACTAAGAAAATTAAATGTTTAAAATGTCATGAGTTACTATATTGTATATTATATTTAAATATATTGTTTATTTACCTTAAACATAAAAGTATCTTTATTTTTACTATATTTTTTATTAATGTGTAATATATTAAAATATTAGATGTACACCTTACATTTGATTAAATAATATAGAAAATATTACTATTTGTAGATAGTAAAATCAATTTACTATACGAAAATATTAAAAATTAAAATATATATTATACATTTATGATTTAGTAATATTGGTGTTGTAATCTTTACTAAAATTTTATAAGAAAAAATAGTATTTTGTATTACAATCTTAATATTGTATTGACGAATATATAATATTGTTACCCTAAAAATCTGTTAAAGTAAATTTTACTATATTTTTTTACTATCTAAAATTTACTATAAATTTCTCTCCGTGTAACATTGATTCTTCACTCAACGGTAATAAGTTATTTTAAGCTTTATGTTTTAAGCATCTCTTACAATTTAATAAATTCATATTATTTAAAAAAATAATTTGGCAGAGTTTCAAGTTTTAACTAAAAAAATATTTTAAATTGTTGGAAGACTTGGACCACACACTGTAAGTGATTACATTCATGATAATAATTAGATAATTGTTCAAGATTCCTATTTTTTTCCTTTGACGTTTTTTATGTCATATTTTTTTAAATTTTAATACTTTGTTGATATTTTATAAAAATAACTATTAAAATTATTAAAACTTATTGAGTTTTAGGTAACAACGTTAATTTATTAACCATTATTTATTATTTAAGGTAGTTGTCGTGGTACAATATTGTCAAACATTTTTAAAATATACGCACCGTAAAAGTATACGAGCTTGTAGCTAAGTGATTCATAATTTGTTCGCAAGACTGTACCCTGGAGACGTTACCTTTACGTAATACTTTCAAATATTTTCATAAGTTTTAATACGGCAACGTCGCTTATGCTCAACCAATAGATATATTGGAGACTGAATCAGTCCGTTTGAATTTACTGCGGAAATAATATCTATACTCGCGTACAGCCTTGCCAAGTTGTTTTTATCTGACACTAGTGATGTATACTTTTTACAAATTGTTGAACTTTAAACGGTTATTTATAAACAATTGGACGGTCAAAAATTTTTAATTATTTTTTTTTAACTCAGCAAAAATACATTAATACACTGTTAGTTTTTTGAAAGCTTCTGACAGTTAGTTTTTTCTGTATAACTAAGAAACTGGTACTGAACTACAGAAAGCCTATACAATCCATGTTAATTATCCAATTTTTAATTGAATTTATCTCGAGTTATAGAAGGTCAATCGACTTCAAAGGATATATGTATTGTCATGTCCTTAATAAGTATACAAAAATTTAAAATTTTCTGATGGTATGCTTACAGCACGACAACTACCTAATATATAATATTTAATATTTTACAAGCCATTATAATGGTTGTGTGTTTGCTATTCAGGAACAAATAATTACGATTACAAATTTAATTATGATTATAAAATATTCAAATTTTAATAATTATTAACATTTTTATTTTACCTATTTTAAATTGCATTGTTTAGTTATAACACTTTAGTATAAAAGTTTTAAAAGTTATTTATGATTTTACAAAATACTTAAAATTAATTAATTAGTCCTAATTAGATTAAAGACTTAAAAGTCACTAAAATGATAAAAAAGTAGTATTCGTGTGTGGAAGAATAACAATTTTAAAACTTAATTATGTGTAATGCGTAATTTTAAGGTCATATTAAACAACTTATTCTTGAAGACATGTTTGTGTCAATGTGAGATTCAAGATTGCTTGTTTTTATTACCTACCATATAGTCGATCCAAGTCACCTTGTTGTTCTTGCATTTGCCTGGATATGTCTTTATCATTTGCCAAGATATCTTTATACTTTTTACATAAATAAGTGGAATTTTCCTCACTTGTAACCTCAAGTTCATTTAGTGCATTTAAAAGAGCCGCATCTTTTTGTAGTTTCTGTTGTTTAATAATTTTATCATTTATTAAGTATAATACTGAATCTATGGAATCATCAGATATTGCTGAAATACGAAGTTATTAACTTTATTTTTTATATATATTTGTTTTGCTTACTAGTGGCAAACTCAACTTTAATTTTCTTTTTGGTAGCTTCAATAGTCAAGAAGTCCTTTAATATAGAAATTGTAGATATATTGTCTGATAAAAACTCGCCTTCATTTTTACTAAAATCGTATATATTTAAATATTAAATTATTGTAATTTACAAAAGATATTACGTATAGGTGCACTGTAAAACCGTTTTCAGTAAACTGGATTCAAACCACAAGACGTTTTTCTCATTGGCCTGTGGTTTTTCAGGAACTTCCGGTAAGCAATTACTGATCCAGGAATGAATTTCTGCCAAGCTAAATCCTCCTTTAAATATCAACTTGTTAAATGATCTAAAATTGAAGGTAATATGAAAAAAGGCGTTTTAAATAAAAAAAGTTGGTCTTTTATAACCGGTGATAGAAAATAAAAAGTCATATATGAAGTACTTCACATATAGGAAATTCATTTTTAAACACGAAATTAAAAATAAATTTTGTTGAATGTTTGTTTGAACTTCAAGTTATTTAAGTTTACATATAACATAAAACATTTGTATCGATAAAATGTACACAAACAAAATTATAAAAAACCAAGTGGGCTTCTAGCATTTGATATTTGATGCATAAGTTTTATTCTTCATATGTTAATCAAAATTAATATCTACTCTCTTAAAATGCTGGTACTAATTCAAATAGTAGAATTTTGACTATTTAATTTTTAGAGAGTATTTAAATAATTATAAAGAATATTTTAATATTATTTAAGCCTGTACTCAAGCTAATGGTGGACACATACTATATTAATTGGTTCTAGTGTTCATACTTTGTTTTATTTAATAAAAAATCTTATCATAAACTTAAATTACTTGAAAACAAAGCAAAACAGGACAAGATAGTAAAAGGTACATTTTACTTGGTAGCCAATGGATATAAATAAAATCTAATCTTGTAAAGATTAAAAAATAAATGACAAAAGGGCTTTGGAAATGATGTACTTGTACCCCTTGGCTTCTAGGGTTATCATGAGATTTAATTTTGTGTCACTGGTTATAAAACACCCTGTATATTTTAAATTACTATATTCTTAACTGACGTATGTTGCATTTAGTATTACAAATTTAATATTTTTTACCCAAATCTTATTTTAAATCACATTAGATGCTACTTTTGATATGAGGCATTTTATTTCGATATTGAGTTTCCTACCTTTTACTATCAAAAATATGAATTCTAAAATGCAAAGACAATGCTTTTATATCGTATTGTAAGTTTCTGCTGCATTTTGGCTGTACTAAGGGTGTTACATATACTTGTAGAGTGCCTTTTTGCCCTTCCACTGTTCGTATCTTCAATTCCAAACGATTTGTGTTTATTTGACATCTATACGTTGCTAATAATTTGTTTCCTGACTAAAACAAATAAAATAAAAATATACCTATTTGTATTAATATTATTTAATAAAATTGACTGTTTCTTTGCCAATACAAATTACATAAACATTTAGTGTTTTCACTCAATCAGAACGTTTAGCTACTTTAGCAAAGATTAAATATATTTTTTTTAGGAAAGAGTATTTCTAAACATGAAAATACAAAGGATTATTTTAAGTATACATTTTTTTTCCGACAAGTTTTATAGTTATTAGGCACTTAAGTTTAAAAAACAAGGCAACGCTGGAAAATCGCTTCACCCCTTAGGGTAAGTAATACTTTATTTAAAAGGTCCACTAAGTATCATGAAAAACTAGTCAAATTCTATTCATTCGTTTTCGAGATATAAAGAGTTATTAACTTTTCAATTTAATTTGCCATCGTTTTTCTCAAATAGTTTGTTAAGATATGTTAAAGAATTGAGATAAGATTTTTAAACAATGTTTAAGGATTCCAATAACGACATGGGCTATTTTTAATTAATATCAAAAGAATGTAAAATTATATTTGGTGTTTTATTTGGAATAACAAAGTTTATGCTACTTCCGGTCAAACCAAAAGTGGCATTTTGTTCAAAATATTTTAGATATCTTTTGCTGTTCCCCAGAAACTTTTAATGGACCACGAACGTAAAACACCCTGTTTATATATTAATATGTACTGAAATAAATAAATGAATACATTTTATTATAAAAGCTATATTATAATAATTATTAGTTTATTTTAAAAACAAAGTTAAATACCACATGAAGATATTTTGGATTTTTTTAATTAAAAAGTTATATTTGAATTGTTTCCAATAATTGCCTATGTTTTGTTACGCAAATGTTTGTTTATAATGATTTTTATGCAGTGTTAAATTTAACATAACTTAAAAGTACATAGAGATTAATATTTTACCAAGAAACACTTAAACAATCATTTAAATTTTTTACCAATTTGTATAAAACATATCAACCATAAAACTTTAACCCGGAAATTTGAAAATATTTAATTTAATTACCTAAATATTCTGGTATTCGACATGCTAATTTTATTTGATTAATTTATTAAAATCCATAAAATAATTTTTTATACATTTTTATATAAATACTAGATTCACGATTAAAATAATATTAACAAAACTAGTTTTAATAATAAAAGTAGCAATTTAATAAATAAATGAGGTCGTACACCATTAATTAAAAATATAATATCAAACAATGTTTTAAATAATTATTTATATTTTCCGTACTACACTGTTTTATAAGAACCATTACCTGAACTTTGTTTTAGGTAAAATTACATAATTTTTTAAACAGTTTTAGTTGTTAAAAAATTATTTTAAAATATATGTATTTAAGTAGGCCTACTTTTATATCAAACTTTATATTTCTAGAACAGTCCATGAACAAACTTGTCATCAGTTTGAATGGGTTCCGGTAACGTATTTAATGGTTTAATTATTTTGTGGTTTTAAGACATGGATTTACAAAAAACCTTTTGTTTTAGAGAATATTTAAGAAATTATTCTTTACATTTTGTGTGTGTACACATTTTAATAGTATAACACGGTATCAACCCAAATTCCTTACTGAATGCTCTTACTGTAATATACTATAGTACTATAGTTGGGTACAAACACTTGCTCAATATTTTTAATAAAAATTAATCAAAAAGTACTATCTAGAAGATATTATTAAATATTTAAAGACACCTACTATTGAACTCACAACTATGTCAAGTACTTTTTAACTTAAATGCTTAATAACTCTAATACTAGGTACAGATACAGACCAAAATAAAAACTAATGAAAGTTTAAATTTGAAACGCTTGATCGAGACATTTGCAGGTGGCCAGCGTGGTCCTAATAAATACATATTTTCCTTTGGATATCTTTATAGTTTCGTTTGAGTTTTTGAATATTGCGTGAATAGTGTCTGACTAAAACTTAAACTAAACCACCACTAGCACTTTAAACGGAAATTTTGAAAATTTGCAAGACAATTGAGCCTTGCATACTTTCCGTATTATCCCTAGTATCCGTTGCACAGATAATACGAGAAAAGTCTTTTATTATATTTTACGAATTTTTTGGGAAAAACTTTAGCCGTCTAAATTTTGTCCGAAAATTTGAGAGTTAGTCGTGATGACATTAAAACAAAAATTACTTACTGTTGTCTCAGAATCACTGTAACTAACGACAGCTGAATTTTTCTCAACATCCAATAGCTTCAACGAAACATTACTTTGCAATAGAACGTTGTCTATAGCTGTGGGTACTTCGATTGAAAGTACGTAAGTGGAACTATGTTTATCTAAAATTAACTATCCCAACATTATTTGTATGCTATAGATATTAAAAAAATATATTTCTTACCGAATCTTTAATTGACAATAATGAAATTGCTGAAAATTCGTCAAAAAACGAATGTGTTGAGTTTTGATAACTTTCTCGTTCTTTGGTTACCCGATTTTGTAAATCTTCAATATCAGATCTAAAAATTTCTGTAAATGAAATTTTTTGTATTTTAATAAATATTTAAATTCATACTTTAACTTTAAAATCCGTTGAGAGTTATCATTAGTAAAGCTTCCTGTATTATCAACATTCGAGTCTATTGTTTGTGTAGTTAGGCCAATAACCCGTCCAGTAAAAGTAACTACTAAAATTTCTTCAAATCCTTGGGATCCAATTATACCAGTTTGAATGGCGGTAATACTTTCATTTAAATTCTTAAAAAATATGTTATCTTTTACTATTAATTTACGGATAATAATAACATTATTTTAACATTATCGCCAAATATAAAATAAATAACACTAATTTGTAGACTGATAAATAAAGAACGTGCTATATGTTAAAATAGAATTAATATGCGTTTTACTACTCACAATTTCAAAAAGCAATACTGGTTTATCAGCAACGTCAAACAAATTTATATTGTAAACCTCCACATTACCATCTTGCCGACCAATTATAAGATTTTTTGCGCTGTTTCCTGTCAAATCATACGAATCTATGCAAGAAATAGATGACGAATTTGAGTCGTTTACTAGAAGCCATCTTTCAAAACTTTGCGAACTACAATATTAATTTTAACAATTTGTTATAATTTTAAATTGCACAGGTCAAACATTATATTATATATAACAAAATAATTTTTTATGAAGTTCGATATTCGAAAATTCTCTCGAAAGAAAGTTTATTAGATTTAAGACCACATAGTTTGAGCGTATTGAGCGCCAGCTTCCGTAGGAATATTTTACTGTGTATTTTAGGATTTTTTCTGTAAGTTGAGTTTTTTGTAGACCTGCTCCCCAGGGCTCTACTTTATTATTTTTGGATGCTAAACTTCTTCCTGAAATACTTTGTGGTGTATCTCTTGGATCATCATTTAAGTTTTTCAAAGAAACGGGAGTAGGTTGCGGAGTATTTTGTTCCCGAAATTGATTTTAATTTTGATTTAGTTTTTTTCTCAATCTATATGTTGTGGAGTTTTTGTGCCATTGCTTTCTCGTTATACGTTGATCTCTTCTGCTTAGCTGAACTATCTCTTTCTTCTTTTTCTTAGAATATTGATTAGTGCATGTCTTCTTTTTTCAGCTTCCCTTTTCTTGCGGACCAGCAAGATTTAATAATATTTTTGTTTTTAAGAATACGCACGTAATTTTCCAAATTTTTCTCCGAAACTAGGCTTTACACGATAAAAATAAAATAGACAATTTCTGATATTAATAGAACAAAAAATCAGATATAGAGCAACATATTATATTTGTATAAGCCAGTAGCGTAACATATATGGAGAGACAACATTTATTACCAAAACTATAGGTCTGACGCGACAAACTCAAAATCTACTCTCTAAAAATTCATTAGTCAAAAATGACTAATTTAATAGTTATTAGTGGCTGCTTTTTCACTTGTATTATGGTTAACCATGGAATACCATGGTATTCCAAAATTTAACAGCCAATTCTTTTGTAAAATTGTCCCCTGAATGAGAAAATGTCGTTAACAGTTAAAAAAGTAGATCAGTTTTTGAGATATACCTAGTCAATTTTCCATTTAATATGGAATTGACTATATCTCAAAAACTGCTCAACTTTCATAATTTTTGACGGTATTTTCGGATTCAGGGGACAATTTTAAATAAGAATTGGCTGTTAAATTTTGGGATACCATGGTATTCCATGGTTAACCATGATACAAGTGAAAAAGCAGCCACTAATAACTATTAAATTAGACATTTTTTACTAATTCATTTTTAGAGAGTATAAATTAGTCAAGAACTAAACATTTTTATGTTCAAATTCTTAAATAAATATATTATTTAAAATAAATCTTGAGAGCTTTCAAGAGAGTTGTTCAACCTTTATACTAATTGTCTCGTTCCATAAAACTAAACTTACCCTTCCACATCAACTATACCAACTCGACCATCTACAGTACCAAAAAGAATCGTTTTTTCGTTGTTTTCTTCAACGATTTGTAAGATAGTTGGTGAATTTTCTACTTCAATGCTAAACGTTACCCTGGCATGTTCTATTACACGAATCATTCTACCCTCGCAAGCAATAAGAGAAAGAAATCTCTTTGTCTAAAAAATAAGATTTTAATAATTTAGATAATTTAAAACAATATTGCATTAAGTTAAGGAGAAGGAACGATTATTGGATTTTAAGGGAAGCATATTATTATTCAACAAGCTAAATATTATTAAAAAATAATTAATTACAATTGATTCTTAAAAAATATAAGTAGGTACCTACCTACCATCATTATCTTAAGGTTATTATTGTTTTATACTCTATTATAATAAATTTGGTAACAAAGTTCTTGTGAAAATTAATCATATTAAAAATATATTGCAAAAAAACTAAAAATACTATCAACAGGTTTTTAAATTTAGAAGTGTATTTGGACATATATATGGTGTTCTCAAAGTTCAAGAAACTTACAAAATTCTAAGGTGAAGCAAAGTCAAAATACCAGATTGGCTATACAGGACAATTTTAATTCGTTTTATAAATCAAGTTTAAAAATACACTTTTTTTAATACCTTTTGTGAATACATAGAAATAGCATCTGTAATTTTATCCCCACATAAATATGATCCAAGTTCTTTACAGTCTCTGTAATGGTTAAAGATGTGTTTGCCACATAAAATTAATTCGCTTCCCAAAACATACCTAAAAAATAATAGACAAAAACGTTTTCTTTTTGCCTTAAAAAGAATCTTAATTATATTAAGTATAATTTATATTTACATTGACTTAATGGTTTCTGTAATTCCGGAATCAAAAGTCAAAAACAACTTTCCTTTTTTCGTGTAGCCTTTAACTTCATTATCAGTTGCAACAAATATTTTATCAAAAGGCGTCCCTGTAACAAGACTAAGTTTAGTCTAAGTTTTTAATTTTTAACATTATTTGTCACCGAAATAAGGCTTTGTAAGCCATCAACGAAAATAGTTATATCTATGTAAGAATACCTAATTAAATAATAATATAGGCAAAATATACAGGGCTTCCCCTGAACGAGTAAAGAAAAGGAAAAAAAATAAAATTTATGGATTACTAAAGAATCATTAAAACTACATTCTTATATAGGTTAGAACTTCCATGCAACTTAAAGTTTTTTTAGGGGATGACCACCCAAAAATTTTAAATAGCAACCTCTGTCGAGTTTCCTTTTATTTTAAAGGTAATCAAAAAAGAAACACATCCCCAAAACCCGATATCTTAATTCTTTCAAGAATTATGAGGGGTTTACTACTAAATGGGAAAATAAAATGTTTTAATGGTTTTCGCACGTTAATTACAATGTTTGTAACAAATGTTCAAATTTTCGACCATTTTCAATCTCGCAAATGGAATTTTAAACCTTCAGGAGCATATCCCCAGCGATGTTGGTGGTTTCTAGAAGTATGCGATTTTCCAAATAATTTAATGATTGTCTACTTTTCCGACACCCCCAAAAGGAAAAAATAGTGGTGTTAGATCAGGAGATCGTCGTGGCCACTCAATTTTACCTCTCCTGTCAATCGTCCTGCGCGATGAAAATGTGGAGGAACCACTTGATTTTCTATTTTCTAACAGTTGCAGATATCTGTCTCCATTCAAATTTCTATTAGTAAAAAATGGACAAAGTACATTCACGCCCATAAAATCTTAATTCTACGTTGTCTGAGTATGATTTTGCCGATTAACCTTATCATTCAAGTAAAAAGTAGCCCCATGAGAGAAAACAACATTCGAAAGAAAATTTCTGTAAACATCACATTTTTCAAGAAATATTTCACAGAATTCCAACCTTCTATAGGAAAAATAGTTATTTCTTTTGACAGAAGTTTTACCAATTTCATGTACCTAACACGCTTTTAAAAGGAACTTGAATGTTTTTCAATAAAATATGGTAACACTTAGGTCGGTTATTTTTGGAGTTGTTGTAGTTTTCGGTCTGCCAGTTTTTGAAAGATCTTTCACAGTTCCCTCTTCTTGAAATCTTCTAACAGCTCAAATGTTGGTTTAGAAATTGGTGAAGAATGGTCAATTCTTTCCACGCTTGTGCATCAAACTAATGCTTCAAAATCGACCATTTTTCCCAATCGTTGCACAATATATCTACCATTATACCCTACGCTTTATTTGCGTCATCAACTGAAGTTTATATAGCCAGCACGGTAACGGTATTGGATCGGATGAATCCCTTATTAATAAAATTAATATTAAATAAAAATTATATTATTTTATATAATATAATATATTACATATAAATAATTAAGTTAGAGGTTTAAATTATGGTCCGCAAGTCAACTTGGTTTGTTTGGTTTTGGTCAAGGTGTCCTGTAAATGTAAAATTCTTGAAAATTATGTATTTAAGAAACTCTATTCCTGAAAAAGAGGTTAACCAATCGTCATCGAAACCACCGACCCTGTATGATTGGTTAAATCGGTTACCAGTGCTGCAAACCAAATGAAAACAGTGTTGTCCTAAACAAAATTACTGTTTTTTTGTTTATCTAACTTAAAAATTTAATTCCTGTATTTTTAAATTAAAATCCAGGAGCAGACTTCGCATACAAAATACGTTTTGTCAAAAAATTTTACTTACTGTCCTTGAAACTAACGCGCATCTTCTAACGGTACCCTGTACATTCTAAACGCATCTAGTTGCCCGGGACATTTTGGAAATAACCGAGACTTCATGCTTTTTTATAGTCTGTAAAACTCAAGATATTTTAAAGTTTATTAAAAAAAACGATGTCCAATTAATGTCCTTTTAATTGAAATTCTCTCTGCTTTGCTGATTCCATTAATTTTATTTTATAGATGTCATTTCACTCCACTCCCCTAATTTACGTACACTCAAAAAAATATTTAGTAAATTTACACATCTGATCGTTGGTTATTTTGATGCCACGTATTTAAATGTATATGTACAAACATACTGTAAAACTACATATAATGTGTAAAAATGCAAAGGTCATGTAAATCTAAAATTTAGGAAAATAATAGTACAAGTACATTAAAAATTGTAAAAGCACATAAATTTAAGGATTTATTACATAATAATATGAAAAACTACATATTAATTTAAAAAAATACATAAATTGATGCTATTTTACTTATGTAAGTATGTGTGTACATGTTTTATATGGAACAACACATTTCTTAAGTAAAAAAACAGAAATAAATGTGTGTTTGGATGTGTAAAATTTCGTAAATTTTTTTTCAGTGTAGTATTGCCAGATCACATGGTTCAATATAATCACCAATTCTAAAATTGGAGAAGAGTCAAGCCATGTCAAGTGGGACCAGAAAATTTCACGAAATCACCGATTTTGAAAATAATCACATTATTGTGTAGTAGGCATGACGCATATGTCACAGTAAAAAATTTAATTTGAAATTCGGTTTTTTGTTAATGTTATTAAAGTTAATAATTTTGTAAAACTTAAGAGCACACTAAAATTGAAAAAATAGAATCTCTGGGACCACTCTGTATAATTGAATTAAATTTTACACACTATTGTAGCAATGTTTAGACTACAGAATGATCATTTAATTAAGGGAAATTTGTTTAAATAAAAGAGTTTTGCATACATTTTTAATAAACAATTGAAATTGTTTTTGTTCTTCAAACTGAAAAAAAAATAATCTTGTGTCATAATATGCTGCAAACGTTTCTGTTTTATAAGATGTACTCAAAAATTTGTCCTTCATATGTCGAACCGGAGATATTAAATTTTTTGTCCCGCAGCGCGCTTCGCTGCTAGCTCGTCCGAAACGATATGCTCACGGTGTGAATTTTCAAAAAATTTCGAAAAGAGTAGAAGCTAGGATTTTGGTAAATATCATTTTTAAGTCACCAAAGGATCCCGAACAAGAAACTGCAGTCAGTTTTTGGCGGCATTTTTATGTGACTTAAACCTCTTTCAGGCACACCGCATACTGACGAGCTAGCAGCGAAGCGCGCTGCGTACTGATCAAGCGCACAGCGGGACAAAAAATTTAATATCTCAGGAATGACATATAAAGGTCAAATTTTTAGTACATTTTATTAAACGGTAACGTTTGCGGCATATTATTACACAAGTTTAATTTTTTTTCAGCGTGAAGAACACATACAAAATTTCAATTGTTTATAATAAATGTATGCAAAATTGTTTTATTTAAACAAATTTAATATTATTAAATAATCATTCTATAGTCTAAACATTGCGACAATAGTTTGTAAAATTTAATTCAATTATACAGAGTGGTCCCAGAGATTCTATTTTTTTAATTTTACCGTGCTCTAAAGTTTGACAAAATTGTTAACCTTAATAAAATTACCAAAAAACCATTTTTAAAATAATTTTTTTACTATGACATATGAGTCATGTGATTATTTTCAAAATCGGTGATTTCGTGAAATTTTCTGGTCCCACTTGACATGGCTTGACTCTTCTCCAATTTTAGAATTGGTGATTATATTGAACCATGTGATCTGGCAATACTACGTAAATTAGGGGAGTGGAGTGAAATGACATCTATAAAATAAAATTAATGGAATCAGCAAAGCAGAGAGAATTTAAATTAAAAGGACATTAATTGGACATCGTTTTTTTTAATAAACTTTAAAATATCTTGAGTTTTACAGACTATAAAAAAGCATGAAGTCTCGGTTATTTCCAATTGTTTGCTTTAGATAATCAAAGAGCATTTAGGATTAATTTTTTTTCAGGTTTATGTAATTCTTAAGGGATAAATAATATTAAGTTAATATTAGATGACTTTTCTTTCAAATTTACTAACAGTTACTTCACACCAGACTTTTGCTTTTTATAAAAATTATTCAATTTGAAAAAACCGCATTTGCTTCTCCGCTTAAATACCATGTTTAATCAAAGGGTATTAGAAAAAAGAAAGTTTATATTTTAAAATTGAGTTATAATTTATTTAAATAAAGGTTTCCCGTTAATATGAACTAACCGAGAAAACCAGGAATTTATTTCATTTACCGAACCGCTAACTTGTGTGTATTTACGAAACATATTTTTAATTATACGTCCATTGTACAAATTTAGTATTACATCCACATTTATAAGATAACTCTTTAACAAAGTAAAAAGTAAAGAAAAAATTATGCAATCTTTTCGTGCAATCATATACCAATCACGTGCGTGTATTCCCATTTAATAATTTTAATCATAAAATGAGAATCATAACGCAGCGTTTTAACACTCACGCATGCATGATTCCGGAAGTCGCGACGTGAAGGCGTTGTGCGTTTTGATGCGCCTTACTAGTGTTATTTGGGTATATGTAATTAAACACAGTTGGCCATTTAAGTCATACAATGCACATCCTGTTTAGCCACCCCACTGGGGTGACCCTGGTGCCAATCAGCAATTTTATCGGGTTTATGCATAAAACGAATAAAAAACCTTAAACTCATGAGTGTGTACTGTATTTTGGCTTGATCAGGGTTAAAATTCGATTACAATATTTGATTGTCCTGCATAAATAAATAAAAACGTTTAATACGGTATTATGAGCGCTTCAAAACATGCCTCAAAAACTTAAAAAAACTGGTAAATATATACTTTTAAAATTGTTTAAGAAATTCTTAGATATTGTGTTTACATACCTATGGCCCCTGCAGTTTTTAAGGAACTTATAGGGGGTCCAGGTAAAGTTTTAAAATGAATTTGGATATCATCTTTTTTAATAGAAAAAACTTGCAGTATTCCTTCATTATCAGCTATTGCAATCTAAAAATAAATAATCGTGTATAAGAATTTTCCTTTCATAAGACCGCCACTGAGTTAATAGTTAAAACTTTTTAAAACATATAAATAAACCTAATAATTTGATATTTACCCTTTGTTGTCCCTTAGGTGTTTCACTAGGCAAAAGTTTCATACAATTTAAACTTGTTAGTCCAACTATTGTATAATCCACCCTATATAAATTTAATTCCATGTTTCATATATTAAATATACTTTAGATATTTAATAAAACAACTATATCATAATATTGCTTTACTAAAATCAATAAAATCTACCATTACAATGCATTGCTATGGTTCCTACAATTTTTCAATACAAACATATCCAATTGAACTAATAAATTACATTAATTTTATTAATCAATTTAACTTAAAATGAATACAATTTTATTAAATGTTTAATTTCGTTGTTTTAATAACTTTTATTTATAGTAAAATTTTAAGGTAAGGGTTGTCATACATCTTTAAAATGTAAAGCAATCCATACACTTGCAATATATATATTAAGGTTACAAAGTTTGTACCACTGACTTTCAAAATGTCTAAATTAAATTTAGTTGGCAAAACTTAATTTTCATATTTTCTTTACAGTCAACATGGCAGAACCCGAATTAAATGTTGATAATCTTATACAGAGATTATTAGAAGGTTAGTGTACCCCTGTTTGAATTTTAATGTTACTAATTCCTATCTATATGCATATTAGTAAGACGGGCTATTTTTTAACACCTGTCAAATAAAATAATGTTCAGTGATAGAAGCTAGTGTCTCATATACCTTTTATTATAAACAGTTATTCCAAATGTATTTTAGTACGAGGATCTAGACCTGGAAAATCGGTAAACATGACCGAAGGAGAAGTGCGAGGTCTCTGCATGAAATCACGGGAAATTTTTCTCCAACAACCAATTCTTTTAGAACTTGAGGCACCACTTAAAATTTGTGGTACTTATTTGTACTCTAACTAAAGGAAAAGGTTTTATTTAAAATACATTATTTCAGGCGATATTCATGGTCAATATACCGACCTTTTGAGGCTCTTCGAGTACGGAGGATTTCCAGTGGAAGCAAACTATTTATTTTTAGGAGATTATGTGGATCGCGGAAAACAATCTCTGGAAACGATTTGTTTACTGCTCTCCTATAAAATCAAATACCCCGAGAACTTTTTCCTACTACGCGGCAACCACGAATGCGCCTCCATTAATAGAATATACGGATTTTATGATGAATGTAAGAAAAATTACTTTTGTAATGAAGGGTTTTTAAATTAATTAACAGGGTTATTAATTAATATTGCGAAAAAATTAGGTTAAAAATCCTTGCATCAAAATAAGAAATATTAACTACTGTAAATACAACTGCATCTGGGAAACAAACTTATAAATTATATATGTTTAAAAATAATTAGACAACTCTTTTACCTTTTATGGTTTTCTTATCTTTCAAGGTATAATAAATAAAAAATACAATTGTGTTTTTTTCAATAATTTAGTTTAAAAACGAAATTATTGTAGTCACCAAATAAATCAAAACAAATATACCTAGATAATCTCGTGTTCGTAATCCAGTGTGGACCGATTTTTCAATTTAACGTTAGAATAGAATCTATGCATTAATTATAGACATGGGCTGTAAAGGATGTAAATTTGGCATGTACATTTTTATCAACATTCAAACCAGAGTTTAGCTATTGCAAACGATAACATCTTGTATAGTTTTAGCAATTTTAATATTTTTTTAATCGGAACACAGACGATCGATCTTTCTAAAAGTTTTTAAATGTTTTTTAAGTAGACTCCTAGAATTTTATCGTGGACCTAAAAACAAGTGATTGTTTTTATCAGTTTAGTGCGTATTGTTGAAGGTATGTAAGTATGTCAGATTATCAATAAAAATAGGACAATATTTTTGATATAGTAAAACGGCTACGTTTGGCTGCGTTCATGTTTTTATATAAAAAAAAGTGTATCGTTTAAGAATATCACAAGAACTTGCGTCTGAATGCAGTCATTAATGCTCTGTACGGTTTAGATGGTTCGTCGGGTCTAGTCAGTACAAACAAACTTTCCAACATGAAAACGTATCTAAAGCAACCATTTTATTCACTTCTCTTATCTTAACTGCCGAAGACGAAGCAAGTTGTAAAAAATTATTGATTTGGGTCCAAATCAGGGGGATATGGAAACAGTAACGATGGCAGATGCTTTTCGCAAATTCGAAGAAATCTTCTCAAATCTTGGGGGTAAAGCATGAGGTGATTTAAAGACCTGACAAAAAATAAAAATAAAAAAGTGGATTTTCCGTAGATGTAAACAAGGTTGCAGACAGTCAAAATATTGATAGAAGCGTATCCGTGGTATTGCAAGCCTACGTCTATCCACAAAGTCCTCATTCATGGTCCTTTAATAGTAGAATGGGTTCCTTTGCCAATCGGTCTGCTTTTCGAAGAGGCACATGACTCAAGAATAAAAGATATCGCGATGGTTTCTCTCGTAAATGTAGTTGACAAAAAAACATGGAGGACGTTTTTCGTTGGTTACTGGTAACAACATATCCCATAATCAATAGGTATAGTGCTATAGCCTGCATACTAAATCTTCGGAGGAAAATAATTTCCTGATTCGGAAGGTTAACCGAGCTTCTTCGTCGGACTAGTGTTATTTTTGCAACAGATAGTATTAAGACGTTGTCAGTTGTAGGCAAATAAATTTAATTTAAGAAGAAATGATAAAAGTTTTTAGCGCTTGGTTCCTTTTCGATAAGCTTTATCCATATATAAAACAGTTTGCCAATAAAAGCATTTATTATTATTATTGTTATTATTATTATTATTATTAAATATATTGGACAATGAGAATGAAAACAACATCGTTAAAATTATTTTTTGAGACGATTCTGTTGAAGAGCATCTTTCAAAAAGCCAAATTTAACAAAGTGAAAATAAAGACAAGGTAGTGGACGAACCAGTGCAAAATATTTTTAGTTTACTGGAAAAAAATTGTCATCGTTTGAGCACACAGGAACTAGCAAGACAGGGTCGAACAAGACAAGAAAATATTGTACTACATTTACATGGTCCTAAAGAAGAGGCCAGAACAGTTCAATCTCCTAAACAAGTTTGTAGTTTATTGATCAATCAACAAATAATAAATACTATTGTTTTTCATTTAAATGAATAAATTACTCGTGAATGCAATGATATTAGACAACACAGCTACATAAAACCAACAAATATGACAGAAATAAAGGCTTTTATTGGTCTATTATTTTTAGCAGGTGCATTGCGTATATCAAACTTTGGTCTGTAAAATTTGGAAATGGAATATTTAGTGCAACAATATCACAACAGCGATTCCAATGTTTAGCTTTATGTCTGAGGTTTGATATTAAAGAAAGTAGAGCTGAAAGAAGGTTAGTTGATAAATTTGCACCTATACGTGAATTATGGGACATTTTTGTGGAAAACTGTAAATAATACTATACACTATTGACGAGCAGCTTGTAGGATACAGAGGAAAATGTCCCTTCCGTATTTACATGGCTAGTAAGTCTGATAAATATGAATTAAAAATGATGCTACATGATGTAAAAACATTTTATATGCTCAATGCAATTTCATATGTTGGAAAAATAACTACAGAAAATAATTAATCAGTACCAGCTTATTATATACGAAAACTTTCAGAACCAATACATGGAACCAATAGAAATATTACAGTAGGTATGTAGATAATTGGTTTACATCAATTTCAATGAAATTATTCCATTAGCTAAAAACATTTTAACTGTACAAACTAGCTCTTCTTGGAACTTTGAGAAAGAACAAGGGAGAAATGCCTACAACTTTTCTAAATGAAAAAGAAGGGGGTACATCGCTGTTTGCTTTTGAGAGAAATAAAATAGAAATAATGCCCCCACGCATTTTTTTAAACATGCTTGACGCGATTAGAATAAATTATATATACAATGTATATTATACATATATATTTTTCAGTGCATTCTGATAAAATTAAATATTAAACAAATACCATAAAATTTTTCTGTTTTTTTGCTCAAAAAGCCAAGTGTGAAGTTCATGTCGCCAAAACTAAAAATTGAAATTCGACAAATTCTAAAATTAAATTAAATTGTTTAAATTTTTATGTTTCAATTTTAAATATATGTTTTCGCATTTAAGGTAAAAGAAGATTTAACATAAAATTATGGAAAACCTTTACGGATTGCTTTAATTGCCTTCCAATAGCAGCAATAATAGATGAGAAAATATTCTGTTGTCATGGTGGATTAAGTCCTGATTTGCAGGGTATGGAACAAATTCGACGAATAATGCGACCTACTGATGTACCGGATTCAGGTTTGTTTATATCAGCCCCGGATCTAGGGAAATTAAATCGGGGTACCTGCCCTGCCCAGCTGACATGGTCACGTCATATAAACGTCAATTATAGGTAATTATTGTTAAATGACGTCGACGAAATTACATTGACGTCTCTACGACATCAATGTCAATTTTTCAGCTGCATTAAAGTGATGTGCCTGTTGGTTTTAGAAAAATAAACAAAAGTCCACAATGTACAAAATTAATTTACACACAGTTTTATTGTTAAAATTATTATTGTATCACTGTAGGTCGACGTAATGTCGACGTTGGCAAATTGAGTTTTTTAAATCATTAATCTAAAATGCTGGAGGGGATTGGCACCAAAAATATTATGTGAGGTAAAATGAGAAAATGAGGACCGAAAAAAATAAAATATACAGTTATTTTCAAATTATTTATTTTTCTTAGGTCTTCTTTGTGATCTTCTTTGGTCCGATCCAGACAAAGACGTGCAGGGCTGGGGCGAAAACGATCGTGGAGTGTCGTTCACATTTGGAGCCGATGTCGTTGGAAAGTTCCTCAACAGACACGATCTAGATCTGATTTGTCGGGCGCATCAGGTGGTCGAAGATGGTTACGAATTCTTCGCAAAACGTCAGTTGGTCACCCTGTTCTCGGCACCAAATTACTGCGGAGAATTCGACAACGCTGGAGGAATGATGTCAGTCGACGAAACGTTAATGTGTTCTTTTCAGGTAACCAAATTGTTAAAACACTGTCTTTTGTGTAAATCTGGAACAGCATGAAACCTAAATTATCTACAGTCCGTTCAGGCTAAGTTGAGCGCTTTGGTGTGGGATCATGTGGCCGTTAATTAAATTAAACATCGAATCATCGCGAGATTTCGGTAACAAGAAGGTAATTTATCAGTGCCGCGGCTTGCCGTTTGTTCGTACAGGGCGGCTACCGAAATATATGTATTTAGTTGTGCCTGAACATAGAGATGATGGACGGGGTGACATTCCTTAGACCGCTCAACTTAGCCTGAACGGACAGTACAATTGTGACGCGCAAATGACCTAAGCATCCCAGCGCTAATTTTATAGGAGAAAGGAAATAACAGACGACCGCGCTATACGGAAACATAAACCGAGGATATTTAAGAAAAATTATAATTAACTTTAGATAATAAAAGAGTATTTAATTAACCTATAACGATCATAATAAAATGAGGATAATCATTAAAAGCGGGATATCCCCCAAATGTAGATTTTGGATAAAGATAAATATGGATACTATTGATTAAAAAAGTTCTGGGATAAAACTAAAATACAATGTAAAAAAGTATTCCTGTAATTAGACTTTGTATAATAAATATAAAGAAATAAAAATTAATATAAATAAATTAAAAATTAAAATAAAATATAAATAAACAATCCAGAACTTGATTTTTGAGGATCTCGTCACAATTGTTAAATAGTCATCTGCTTACCTAGGTAGCTACAATTAAAATAGTTTCGCAAGAAAACAAGCTTTTTAGCAAAATAAAGTCAACAATCCTATTAAACGGTTTTTGGTATACACTTTTGGCATCGATAGGCAATGGTATGTAATAGTTTTAAATCTCTACTCTGACCAATGGGCAAAAGCTAATAATAGAAAGAAAAAAAAGAAGGCTTGTATAAAATGTTGAATTTTTAAATAGACATAAAACATAAAATAAAAAATTAAATAGGGGAGACCGGGGTGCATATTTGTTTGTGGCGGACGTAATATTCATTAAATTACGATCGGATCATGCTCGTGCTAATATGTCTCTGCCTGTCAGAGTCTGACATACCTAACGTTTAGATTTAGTACTAAGCAAAATAATATTTGTGTTAACACATTTGTGGGTTTTTTATGTAAATATTTCATAATTATCAGTGGCGGCTGGTGGATTTTGGGCACAACCATATCTCAGTTATTAGACATGGGACCCACATCAAATTTAAGAGTTTATAATGACATTATATAGACAAGTTCTGCCCAAGCAGAATTTAAATTGAAGTTTGCGAAAAAAAGTTAGTTTTTAAGTGTGCCCCCCCCAGTCTCCTGCCCCCTAAATTAAGATAATTCAAATTAAAGTTGTACAATATTTAATTCACTGAAGTTTATCAAAAATTTTCAAATTTTATTAAAAAAATCAAGAATTACAGGCTTTATACCATTTTACATTTTTATTATTTCTTTTACTAAATTTAAAAAAAGGTAGAAATGGTATAAAATCTGTAATACTAAAATTTGAAATTTGCCGATAAGCTTCAGTGAATTAAATATTGTACCACTTTAATTTAAATTATCTTAATTTGGGGGGCACACTTAAAAACTAACTTTTTTTTCGAAAACTTTAATTTAAATTTTGCTTGTGCAGAACTTGTCTATATAATGTCATTATAAAGTCATATAAATTTGATGTGGGTCCCATGTCTAATAACTGAGATATGGGTGTGCCCAAAATCCACCAGCCGCCACTGATAATTATAATAAATAAAAATGAGTGAAAAAAATAAGATATATTTTGTATGTATGATTGAAAGTAAGTTAATAATAACACATTCAAATTAAGAATAAATACAAAATAAGAAGTAGTTTTGTTACTCCCAGGGCGTTAAAAACTCTTTTGGACCAATAAAAAAATTCAATAATTGTCAGTGTCGATATATATTAGGGTGCTTCATTCAAACAAAAATTTTGAGCTATTACAATGCTCCTAATCTTTATTTTAAGCCGTTGCTATTCAATTTTATAATATGTCCCTTAAAAAAACATTCTTTTCTCCTTCCGCTCGTACAGTAAGAATATTTTTTTCGAATTTCGGTTCTAAAATCTTTATACAGGATGAAATTATCTTCAAAAATGTCTATTTAATGTCGTTCTAAAATGAAGCACCCTAATATATCTATATTTTTTCTATTAATAATTGTACATTTTATTAATCGTTTAACGAACAAATGTATGACATTCGGTAGAGAAGTGTTTTTGTACTTCGCTCAAGGAAACTTTAAGCTCAGCACAAAAATACTAAATTCTCAGCTTAATGACATAAATAACTATTTTGAAAACTTTCATTGGAAGTTGACCCTTACATATGTATTATATAATATTTTATTCGTTTAGATGCAAAACATGCCTACATTTTTACTTATACTTAAGTTAAATTTAAACGATTATTTTTAAGTTTTAAAAGGCCCATCCGCGGCTCCTATACATAAGAGCCCACAGATCCTAATTTCCGGTTTAACCCTGTACCCTAGGGTACAATCAGCTGATTATATTATTTTGTTAATATTAAAATCGTTATATATTTTTTAATCCTAATTTTCTAGTCTATAATTCTGATTTATGATTATATTATTTTGTTAATAATAAAATCGTTAAACTTATTTTAGATTTTAAAACCGGCTGAAAAGAAAAGCAAACTAGCATACCAAGGTGGGGCATCTCCAGCTCCTTCAGCAACAAAAACTGCGGTATCCAAAAAGAAATAAATTATACTACTAGCTCAAACATTTAATTGTATTTTATTGTTTTGCCAATATATTTTATAAACCTGCATATTCTTACAAGACTCAAGAATGTTAGACTGAAAGAAGTATTATATTATTTAATTTTAATTATTTTGTAACAAGCTTTGGACATTATACATTTCAATATATTTTTGTACGTTTTAATACCTCTTTGCCTTTTTAGTAGACAATAGTTTTAATTTATTAGATTATAATCTCATAACATAATTGTGGATTTAGCATTGATTACCCTGTTAAAAATCACCCATAAAGACCAATAGAAAAGCTATTGGGATTTTCCAGCGGCAGCTCTATTGGTTTGAATTGGTCTCAATAGTGGTATCTGTACCATGAATTACCAATTCAAACCAATAGCGACACCGCTGGAAAATCCCAATACAGACCGATAGAGACTAATCGTATTTTATTGGTAATTCCCAATAGATATATTATAGATATATTTTATTGGTAATTCCCAATAGAGCTATTTGGATTTTCCAGAGGTACCGCTATTGGTTTGAATTGGTCCCCACTATCCATTTTAGACGTCTTTAAGGTAAAAAATTACGTGTTTTGATGGTTAAATAATTTCTCAAAAATAGTGCTGTTTAACATTTAATTTAAATTTTATAAATAGCTTCTGCTAAAAGTAAGTAGTGGGGCCCACTGCTTACTTTTCGCAGAGTGGGCCACAGGACGACCTCTGCCCCTTTAAAAATTCCAAAACGCCAGGCGTTTCCATGGCCAGTAATATTGCCTTAGTAAGGAATCCTTACTTAGCAGCTCAAGGCATTCCACCTTTATAGGCTTATGTATTGTGCTACAGAGGCGAGAGGTATGCATGGGTTGCCTACCTATTGGCGAATTTTGAAAATAAATATTAAAGTGGTATATACCAATAGGGTTCCTTGTACCTACATACCGATAAAATACCAATTCAGACCATTAGTTTATCTATTGGTATTTTCCAGTAAGAAAATTGCCAATAGAAACAAGTGGTCATTTGTATTAAATTGCGCAGGCGCTGAACATTTAAGTGGTATTTACCAATTGAATTTCAATTGGGAATTTCCTGTACTTGTAACTTCTTATAAAAACCAATTCAGACCATTAGGTAATCTATTGGCATTTTCCAGTACGGAAATTACCAATAGAAACCAATGCTCATTCTGTTGAGAAACCAATAGGCCCAATAGAGACCAATTCATTCCATTCTGATTTTTTATTGGTTTCTATTGGTCTCTATGGGTGATTTTTAACAGGGTAGGTACTAATAATTATTAATGATTAAGTAAGAACCAAAGAGAAACACTACGCCTGGTAACCTATAGCAGCAGTGCACTTTTGTATACTGGGTTGCATAGCACACAATTAGGTATCCAAATAAGTATTTTTTATACAAAATTTAGTATTCTTTAAAATTTACTTGGTAATATTGTATTAAACGTTCTGTATAGTTTTCTTAATCAATATAAATTATTAGTAATATTTTTATGTTGGCCACAGAACTTTTCAGTTGGTAATCGTAATAATCCAATAAATTTCTCCAGTCAACATGGCTGAACCCGAGTTGAATGTTGATAACCTGATACAAAGATTATTAGAGGGTAAGTTCATTAAGATTTTATTATATTAACTAATTTATGGTTTAGAATATAGACAAATGTAACTTTTACATAAACAGTAAGCATGTAAAGTGATATAAAACCTTTATTATTTACCTGTCAAAGTCTTAGACCTCTAAAATCCATTATTTTCGTCACAAATCTAATTTAGCTCACTAAAATACACTAACTCCTTATTTAGCGGGTAGATTTTTAATAAATTTTATGTGTTTAGTCACTGATACAGATTTTGTGCTTTTTAAACACAGTTTTACTTTTTGGGTTTTGTTTTGTATAAAAATATTAGTATGAATGTTTTTTATGTTTGTGCTGCTTTTTGGTGTGATGTCAATTAAGGGTTTAAAGCTCAACGGGAAGTTCAGGAAAATAAGGATCCAAAGAAGAAATCTAAAATCAAAGATATTTTTATATCTTCAGAACGTAAGATACAATAGTTTAAGTCTAGTTAACAGAAAACGGATTTATTTGCTAGCAAGAATACTTATTTAATGGTTTTTAAAGGGAACACAAGGGACAGCCAAATCAATGTTTAATTATTAGTATTTTTTTATTGGTCTTTGAGTAATGGGGATATAAAGTTTACATTAGTTTCTGAAAATCAGTTTTTTTTAAACTAATGTAAACTTGTTTAATATTAATTAAAAGATAGGTTCCTATTTAAATGAGTATTGAGTTGTTACATTGTTTTTATGGTTCCTATAATTTATAGATTAACCAGTTATTTTTATAGTAATAATTCCGTTTTTAATCTTGTGGCAAGAAATACCTTGTTATTACAATATTTGCATGGGTTATTGAATATATTTTATAATATAAATGTATACATATTTGTATTTTTACTGGTTTAAGGTAAATGTTTAAAGTATTTCTTTATCAAGGTATATTCAATTGACCCTGTTGTGTATTTCAGTTAATTTTTTTATCTTTATCTTATTCTGGTCATGTTATCTTTTTATTGTACTAGGCATATCTAATAATTATTGATTAACTTGTAGTATAACTGAAATACCTACACTTTAAGTACTTATTTTGAATGATTACCTAGCTTTTTTTATTTTTTATTTTATTGTAGTTTTTATTTTATATGCTTTAAAAGGGTATTTAGGTATTTTTCTTAGCCAATATATATACATATATATGTTTTTTATGTATTTTATGTTGGTACATTCTATTTTTAATTTCCCTTTCGTCAAAATGTTAAAGGCACCAGTTTATAAACTGATCTTATTTTTAAGTATCCATCCAATGAGGGTTTGCTCTATCTATTATAATATACGAAAATAGCTCACTGACACCATACCATGCTATAGGGGGGAGGAGTAGGTATAACAAGTTAAAATTGAACTTTGTTTTTGTTATTTTAATGTTTTTATTTATTTTTTATAAAAGGGTGAAAAATAATATTTTAAGGACTTTTCTTAAATAAAAAATTAAAGTTTGTTAATAATAAAAAAGTTATGATCATTTAAAGTTTTCATTTTATGTAGAAAACTTGTCAACTATGTTAATTTTAGTTTAATGTAGGTAGATGTCTAGTCATCTTGTTTATTTTGTTTTTATATGTGTTATATTCAGTATTCCCAGTAAGAACGTTGCAAAAAGTACTTGGAAAAAATTGTATACTTTAATATCCTGCCCCACAGAAAATGCACCCAGAGAGTGTTAAATAAAAAATAAGCACAACTATAACATAAAAGCAAAAAAATCTTATATATGATGGATAAGATAAATATTAATATCAATTAAACAATTCTTTAGTAATCATTGTAATATGTATATAATTCAATAAATCTCATTTTTAATATTAAAATTTAGGTAATAATAATAATATTATTAACTTTTTATCGCATAAGTTTGATGTAATAGTATATTTGTGTTAAAATAAAAATACCTGAATTAAAAATAAATAAAATAACATTTTACAATTTAAAACATAAGTATGGATGTCTGGCTAGATAAAAAATAACTACCAAACTTTGTTCATGTGTCATAAAAATATACAATTTGAGAATAAACGAGCATTTTTATAATATATCCGATAATATCCTAATATTATTATGCATGTTTATTTTTCCAACATAAACTATTATATTTGTTATATTTGTAGGTCAGATGTATTCCTTATTAATCACATTTTTTCTATTTTAAAAGGTAGATACTGATAGTGAGTAATATAAATTACATTACTCATAATATAAATATATATATTTTTTATATTAGATAGATTATAGATTTTAGTGTGTCGAATGTTCCTAAATACTTTACGTACTAAAAATCTTGGCGTAACTGTATTAATTTTTGAAATACCCATTTTCAAAGTCAAAACCTTCTTGTAACTTGAAGTCAAAATTGTTTGTTGATTTTGTTTTTTAAGTTTTATGAGCTTATAATTCAGTTATATATCTTGGCTACCTTTAACTAAGTATCTATTTATGTAATTAACTTCATTTTTTTTTCTTCAAAAATGTCACTTGCATCCCTTGGCTTCTAGGGCCTTATATAAGATTAAAAGAACAAATTTGATTAAAAAAGCTTATACAATTGGTTTATTAAATTTAATTTTTGCATTATTTAGCTGTTTTTATTAAAAGTGATAGAAGGTAATTATTTGTTAAAAAATCAATCAAACTTTATGAAAATACCCATCAAACATAAATACTTAGCTCTATCATTTAATTATATTAAACACATTTTGTTTTACCTTATTTTGACTCTTAAACATTAAATTTTGTCTGTTTCAGTACGAGGATGTCGTCCAGGAAAAACTGTTACAATGACAGAAGCGGAGGTGCGCGGACTTTGCCTAAAATCACGGGAAATTTTCCTACAACAACCAATACTATTGGAACTTGAGGCTCCTTTAAAAATTTGCGGTAAGTAACCTATTATTTATTTTCCAATTTTTAGAGCACAATATTTTATTTATTTCCATCTTTTAAATACGCATTGACAAGCTGTGACTGCGTTTTAGTCACAGTATGAACTTGGCAACAACGGATTTTGGGCTTTTTAGTCACAGGCTAAGTTAATTGATGTCACACAGTCAAAATAAAGTGCCCTTGTAAAATAATACTAAATGTAGACATTATTTTATTATGGTAATAGAAAAATATCAAATTATTAAATAGTTTCTTGATGCCAATCTTTTAAAATTGTATGTGCACGTTTTTACTGTCTTTTTTATTTCGCAGGCAGTAAACTATTTACCAATAAAGCATTTCAAATTTCGGGTGGAGTACCCATGAAACATATTCTTTACTTTCACCTTAAAAAACTGCTTGTGAATCGGATTTAAACGGTTATAGTCTATTTTAAAGGGTTAACTTATGATTTTTACAGAAACATTTGACCAACTAACACTGCCATCTTAAACGCCGGTAAAACAGATTCCTAAAATCAATTTGGTTACTCTATTTCGCTCACTCATTTTATTAAACACTCGCTCGCAAGATTCTTTTGTGCATAATTAGAATTCGTGACTAAAGTAGTAATCATACTTAATACATAATATACTATTTGTGTTTGTAGCAGAAAAAGTATAATATATAATTTATTAAACTACTATCCATCCATTTTTTTCTCGCACCTCTTGGTTTCCAGGGTTCTCACTAACGTTTAAATAATAATTTACTAAAATAATATGTTAATATGGTTGTATACAATATTTTGTCTACTCCTATTGCATAATATTGTTTTTTTTCGTGAATAATAATAAACATTATAAATCCCCTGCCTAACAACGGGAATAATTAACTCAATAGGATTTTAAATTAAGAGAAGGCGACTATAATAACATTTAAAATTGGTAAAAAGTTAGGTTAACCATTTGAAAGATGTTAGATTTTACTTATTTATTTTTGAAAATCATTTAATTATCTACTCATTGGAGTAGATAATGTAAAGTATTAGGTACACTCGAGATTAAACGCATTATCTCTCGTAAAATAATATACCAGTATTTCATGGGGTAAAAAAAGTATTTTTAATGTATTATGAAAAAAACGGTCATCTAAAGAGAATATTAAATTAAATTTTACGCTCTTAAAAACCTTTTTTACATTTTAACATACCTGTAATGATAAAACGGATCCATAGCAGTATTGTTTAAAAAAACAATTATTATAAAATGTTTTTTATACACCCATACATATTTCACAATATTGTTAAATAATATATTATAATTTAAACTTTATAGATGATATTTAAAAAAATCCACTTAAAATATTAAAAACAAAAAGTGTCCTTTAATTGTCCCACTTTGGTTCTCTGTTTTGGTTTATAAAATACACGTATTTATGGCTTGGTAATCAATACATTCCTATAATCCATAAAAAACAGTATCAAGTATCAAGCTTAATAAGTCAATACCACAAATACTATATTTGGTATATGACAGCACAATAATAACAGTTAATTAACATTAACATTGTTTTGCAACAGTTATGAAGTAAATATAAAATTTGTGGTAAATATTTTTTTTAAGTTAAATAGTGTGTCCAAAGTTATTGTTTTGGTACTTTGGTACTTATACAGGGTTTTTCAAAATGGTACCATGTTACTATTAGTTTAATTTTATTTCAATGTTTTTTCATGGATAACTTAACAAAATAAAATATCGTAATTATTATTGTGCATTTTTCTACTTAAAATTTTTCAATAAAATTTAGTAAAGGGTCGTTTTGAGGGGTGGTGAATCCAGTGCCGTGCTTAGCTGTTTAAAAAAATCGCTAATATGAATTACTCTTAAAAACTGACATAGTAGACCTTGTATTTTGTAAAAATATGGCGTTTTTTGCTTCAAAAATACAGTTTGTCAAGATCTACACTTTAAAACAAATCCGGTTAAAATAGCACAAGGGGTGAGTCGCAAACAAATTGGTCACACTGTATATGACTTTTTTTATTGAAATTTTTTTTTCACAATATCCCAAAAACAAGAGCTGATTTTTTATTCAGAATGCTCAAATTACCCTAGAACAATTAATGTATACCACGCAGCTGTTTACAAGTGTAATTATCATGGTAAATAGTCACAAATCAAACAATACAAATTTTTTATTTGCAGGGGACATCCATGGCCAATACACTGATTTGTTGCGGTTGTTCGAGTATGGGGGATTTCCTCCAGAGGCAAACTATTTGTTTTTGGGCGACTACGTCGATCGTGGAAAACAATCATTGGAAACTATTTGCCTTTTGCTTGCCTACAAAATCAAGTATCCCGAGAACTTTTTCTTACTGCGCGGCAACCATGAGTGCGCCTCCATTAACAGAATTTATGGTTTTTATGACGAATGTAAGTATTTTGCGCTTCTTGGCTCACACCTAATTGTCACTCCAAAAAATGATACATTTTAGTCTCATTGAAATTTTCCGCCAGATGAACCGTTTCCTTACAATCATGCCTTAAAAATTGGTATAGTTTTTATCTTTAAAAGTAAATCTACAGCGTAAAAAAGAAGAATTTCGTTTTGATTTCAACTTTAACCTTGAATATCTTTAAATGGAATGAATTTAGACAAAAATGTTAAGAAACTTTTTTTGTACAGCATTTGAATTCCCATAAGAATATCTATCTATCTTTTTTTTGGGTGGTGATTTTTACATGAAGCACAAAGTTCCAAAGTTAAAAGATCAAATTGTAAAACTATACCAATTTTTAAGTCATGATTGTAAGGAAACGGTTCAATTGACGAAAAATTCCAATCAGACTTTTTTTTAAAAATATTTTTAAGTCAATTTTGTTTAACTCAATGGTTTGCGAGTTCTGAGACAAAAACTCGATCAGGAAAAAAAAATAAAAATACGATGATAGACCTTATAATATTAATATTATGGACTCAAACTTTCACAATAATTTTTTTTGTCACCCCAAACAATATACTTAAAAAAATAGTCGATTTTTTTTAAATATATGGTGATTTTAACTCCAAATATGGTAGCAAAGAAATTGTATTAAAATGTAAATAAATGTGTATGTTTTACATGAATAACGATAACGAACAAGTTATAACGATTTTTGGTTTTGACGGGTTTATAGTTTTTTCAAATATTTTGAGAACCGCTGAATTTTTTACAATTTATAAATTTAATTTTATCAGACTTGTATTTACGCAACTTTTTTTCAATTTAACCGACCTAAATAAAAAAAATACCCTTCAGGAACATACTTAGTGCACCCTGTATAAGACCATGCTAGAAACAGATGTTGGATCCATTCGTAATACTTGGCACATCTGTTATGGCATTGTGACGTCACGTGATTCAAGGTATTGAATCTTGCGTTTTCGAAAAACTTTTGTGATACGTACATACGTAGATTTCAAATATTCAATAAAAAAATGCCCGACCCCATTATTGTTTTTTATTGTTCTAAAAAATAGTTTTATTATTTATACTTAATGCGTTTAATTTTTGTTGTTAAATTAATAAAAATCAATTTAAAACTTTGATTTGACTATTAAATTTCAAGTATAGGTAAATATGAATCCCCTGTATATATCCACTAAAGTTTCTCATTGCTAACATTTAACTTTTTTTAGGTAAAAGGAGGTTTAACATAAAACTATGGAAAACATTTACCGATTGCTTTAACTGCCTTCCTATTGCAGCAATAATTGACGAAAAAATATTTTGTTGCCACGGTGGCTTAAGTCCCGATTTACAGAGTATGGAGCAAATTCGACGCATTATGAGACCAACAGATGTTCCAGACACAGGTAGATACAATAGTTTTAAACTACATAATGTATCTTTACTGCTTACGTCTTAGGTCAACCTATTGCAGTGCTTTTAAAATATGTTTATTTTAAGCACCTTGATTGGTCGAGGTAAGAAGTAAGCCGTAAAAGATTCTGCGACAATTGTAGACCGGCCTTAATAGAAATGTAAATCAATAAAAAATACATGTGCTGTTATACCACACAGCTGAAGTGAAACTTATTGAGGTTAATTTAATTAAATTCGTATTTTCTTTCTATTTCATCGATAATAACATTTTTAGTGCTAACAATTTTATTTATTTGATTTATTAATATCATCAGAAATTGTGACATTTAATTAAGAAAGAAAAAAAACATATTTTCTTATTTAAGTTTTTGAGTTATTTTGGAATTTATAAGCTTTATTGAGCTTTTTTGAAGCTTCTTACTTAAGCTTTGAAGCTTTTAAAGCTTTCAAGCTGTTATAATTTTTTTTTAATTTGGATATTTAGAAAATTCTAAAATTTATAAAACAACAGAGTCAAACCACGTCAAGTGGGACCAGAAAATTTCACGAAATCACCGATTTTGAAAATAATCACATTATTGTGTAGTAGGCATGACTCATATGTCACAGTAAAAAAATTGTTTTAAAATTCGTTTTTTTGGTAATGTTATTAAGGTTGACAATTTTGTCAAACTTTGGAGCACGGTAAAATTGAAAAAATAGAATTTCTGGGACCACTCTGTATAATTGAATTAAGTTTTACACACTATTGTAGAAATGTTTAGAGTATATAATGATCATTTAATTAAAGTTAATTTGTTTAAATAAAAGAATTTTGCATACATTTATTATAAACAATTGAAATTTTGTATGTGTTCTTCACGCTGAAAAAAAATTAATCTTGTGTCATAATATGCGGCAAACGTTCCCGTTTAATAAGATGTACTCAAAAATTTGCCTTTCATTCCGGAGATATTAATTTTTTTGCCCCGCTGTGCGCTTGATCAGTACGCGGCGCGCTTCGCTGCTAGCTCGTCCGTTCTAACGTTTTAACGGTGTGCCTGAACGAAGTTTAAGTCACATAAAAATGCCGCCAAAAACTGATTGTTGTTTCTTGTTCGGGACTCTTTGGTGACTTAAAAATGATATTTACCAAAGTTCTAGCTGCTCCTCTTTTCGAAATTGTTCGAAAATTCATGATTTTTTTAAAAATTTTTGTTTATCTCTTTGACAGAGTACACATTTGCACACGGATTTTTATAAAATTGGAGTATATTATTTAGGAGACTTAGAGAATATTTTTTAATACTGTTCACATCATTTGATTTATACAGGGTTAGGCAAAAATCACTTATTTTTAATAATGCAAAAGCGTAAATTCATTATTTTAGCATAACACGCGAAAAATATTTATTCCCAATTTTTTTTTAGATATTTCTAGGTCTATCAGGTTACAAAATGGCATTATTATTAACCTTTTACAAGAAAAATAGATTTGTAATAACATTTAATAAAATAACGCTTAGAGAGTATTAAAAATGTTGTTTAATTAGTAGTTTTCAATTTTGAACGAAAAATTGGTTGAAGTTAAAAAAGATATTTACCAAACTTCTAACTGTTTTTTTTTTAATTTGTAAAAAATTCAATTTTTTTAAAATTATTTGTTTATCGCAAAGTCTACCTTTGCCAGAGTACACATTTGTACACCGATATTGTAAACGAGAGAAACTGTTTTTATATATATGCTTAGATTTATACAGGGTTAGACAAAAATCACTTTTTTATATAGTAAAAAGCATAATGCATAAAAAAGATTTTTCAAAAAAATTCGAAAAGAGGAGCAGCTAGGATTTTGGTAAATATCATTTTTAAGTCACCAAAGGGTCCCGAACAAGAAACTGCGGAATTTTTATGTGACTTAAACTTCGTTCAGACACACCGTGTGCTGACGAGCTAGAAGCGAAGCGCGCCGCGTACTGATCAAGCGCACAGCGGGACAAAAAATTTAATATCTCCGGAATGACATATGAAGGACAAATTTTTTAGTACATTTTATTAAACGGGAACGTTTGCCGCATATTATGACACAAGATTATTTTTTTTCAGCGTGAAGAACACATACAAAATTTCAATTGTTTATAATAAATGTATTCAAAATTATTTTATTTAAACAAATTAAACTTAATTAAATGATCATTATATAGTCTTAACATTTTTACAATAGTGTGTAAAATTTAATTCAATTATACAGAGTGGTCCCAGAGATTCTATTTTTTCAATTTTACCGTGCTCTAAAGTTTGACAAAATTGTCGACCTTAATAACATTACCAAAAAAAAACGAATTTTAAAACAATTTTTTTACTGTGACATATGAGTCATGCCTACTACACAATAATGTGATTATTTTCAAAATCGGTGATTTCGTGAAATTTTCTGGTCCCACTTGACGTGGTTTGACTCAACATGAAAACTCAAAAAAAGTTTTAAAGTTCAACTCAAATGCTTTAAAAAAGCTCCAAATTTAATGTATTTTGGAATTTCATAAAATTTTAAAAATTTTATAATAAATTATTAGTAGTCTTCGATTACTATATAATATACAGGGTGTTTACGGTCTAGGGGTCGAAAATTGAACCGGCGGTGTAAGGTAATAAAGTAAAGTAATGGTAGATTTGTTGGAATTTTGAAAAAAAAATGAATTATAAAAAAGTTATTAAAATTTAAATTTATTCAAAGTTTTGATACAACTTTTGAGGGTCATTGGTTTGATACGGGTGGAGACTTAAATAAAAAAACTGACAACAAAACGTTTCTTAAACAATAAAGAATAATGTCATGGATTTGAATACTTCAAAAAAAACTTTCTAATTCCGTCAAAAAACTGAATTAATTTTGCAATGGCTCATGTTTATTCTAATAACGAATTAGTGGATATGATAATGGTGTACGGGGAAGCACAAGGTAATGCTGAAGAAGCAAGTCGAATTTACGCTAATAAATTCCCAAATCGCTTTCACCCCGCGCCTCGGAGATTTTTTAACGTAACGCAGCGAGCCCGCGATACCGGGGAGCTCCAACCCCATTATGGTCGTGATGGGGGCCCTGATAGGTTGCAAAGAATTTTGAACGCAGAGGAACAAGTACTGCAACTGGTAGCAGAGGACCCATCACGAAGCACTAGGAGCATTGGTCGTCAGTTACGAGTATCAAATAGGGTAGTTTGGCGCACCCTCAATGAAGACCTGCAGCACCCTTATCACTTTCAAAGAGTGCAGGCTTTAAATCCTGACGACCCCGAAAGGAGAATCGAGTTCTGCCAGTGGATTCTCCAACAAAATGAGGCTAATCCTAATTTTGTTGACGAAATTTTGTTCACTGACGAATGTACATTTACCAGAAATGGTATTTTTAATTTTCATAATTACCACCAATGGTCCGCAGAGAACCCTCATGCCATCAGACGTACCAATTTTCAGCAAAGATTTTCCATTAATTTTTGGGGTGGAATAGTAAATGGATGCCTGCTAGGCCTCTATGAACTCCCACAAAGAATGAACGGCCTCGAATACCTGAATTTCCTCCAACATGGCTTAGAACCGCTTGTGGATGACGTCGTACCTCTGGCAATCCGGCAAAGAATGTTTTTCATGCATGACGGTGCTCCATGTCACTACCTCGAAGCAGTCCGTGCGTTTTTGGATCACGAGTTTCCGTATCGTTGGATTGGGCGTGGGGGACCAATTGCTTGGCCACCAAGAAGCCCTGATTTAAATCCGATGGATTTTTATGTATGGGGCTTTCTAAAAAACTTAATCTATCGGCCAGGATTGCCAGAGGTGCAAGACGTCAATGAGCTTCGTCAAAGGGTCCACGAGGCTACAGAACAGTTACGAGAAGGTGGTGCTATGAGGCAAGCTTGCCAATCTCTGTTGAGACGCGCACGACTGTGCTTAAACTGCAACGGAGGAAACTTCGAACATTTGCTTTAATAATGTAGTTCCAAAATAAAAAGCTTGAATTAAAGAGTGTTTTATTATTTATTAATGCGATTTTACTTTTTCAATTTTCAATCGTAAACACCCTGTATAACAGATTTTTTGGCAATTACATAACAACAACATCTGCGTTCAAAATTCTTTGCAACCTATCAGGGCCGCCATCACGACCATAATGGGGTTGGAGCTCCCCGGTATCGCGGGCTCGCTGCGTTACGTTAAAAAATCTCCGAGGCGCGGGGTGAAAGCGATTTGGGAATTTATTAGCGTAAATTCGACTTGCTTCTTCAGCATTACCTTGTGCTTCCCCGTACACCATTATCATATCCACTAATTCGTTATTAGAATAAACATGAGCCATTGCAAAATTAATTCAGTTTTTTGACGGAATTAGAAAGTTTTTTTTGAAGTATTCAAATCCATGACATTATTCTTTATTGTTTAAGAAACGTTTTGTTGTCAGTTTTTTTATTTAAGTCTCCACCCGTATCAAACCAATGACCCTCAAAAGTTGTATCAAAACTTTGAATAAATTTAAATTTTAATAACTTTTTTATAATTCATTTTTTTTTCAAAATTCCAACAAATCTACCATTACTTTATTACCTTACACCGCCGGTTCAATTTTCGACCCCTAGACCGTAAACACCCTGTATATATTACGGTGCTTTTTTTTTCACGACTATTTTTATTTTTTCGCTCCCAACTCAAAATCTTGTTGAAAATCTTTATACGCTTTGGTCGAGTACTTTGAGTTAATATTAAAGGCTCAAATTTTCAGGGAATTTTTTTTTGAACATTTTCAACAAAATTTTGAGTTGGGAGCGAAAAAATAAAAATAGTCGTGAGAAAAAGCACCCTAACATAATATGTATATTATATAGTTACTATAGTTGCCCATTTTAGATCTGCCAATTTCAATAAGTGTACACAATTTTTCGTCAATTTTGAAAAAAGGGATTTTAAAACACTTTCAAATTTTAATTAAATACAAGAATTATAATACTTTGGCCAATTTCGATTTATCATTTTAAATTTATGAACTTACTACTAATTTTCTAATAAAATAACTTGAAACCCTTAAAATTAAAATTTTCAAATTATTTCAGTCATCCATTTTAAAATTTCCATTACGAGTTTTTAAAATACATCTATTTAGTTGTTTTTTAATTTTTTTGTTTGTTTATATTCACAATGTGGTGTGTATTTTTTAATTTAATATAAGAATTATAATAATTCGACCAATTTTGATATACCATTCGACCAATTTTGATATACCATTTTAAATTTATGAATTTAATTACTAATTTTCTAATAAAATAACTTAAAATTAAAATTTTTAAATGATTTAATTTTTTTTAATAATTTGGCCATTTTGGATTTTCCATTAAGAATTTTTAAAATAAAAAGTATAGGAAATCTAAACCTTTAACGGCTTTTGGCAAGCTTTTTGGGGATTGGGACAGGACCACTGCAGTTTCGTATCGCAAAGTTTTGGTATACTCTGTCCGCAAAGAGGTTTCACTCAAAAAATGTTTAAATTTCATAAAAATTAATTAAAAATTTTGTAATTTTTTTATTTCTTTATACCGCAATCTAAAATATAATCATTATTTTAGTTGTTTTTTAAGTTTTTTGTTAATTTAAATCCACAATGTGGTATGTGTTTTTTAATTTTTTAATTGAATATAAAAATTAAAATAATTCGGCCAATTTTGATATACCGTTTTGAATTTAATTACTAATGTTTCAATAAAATAACTTGTAACCCTTTAAATTAAAATTTTCAAATGGTTTTAATTTTTTTAAATAAGTTGGCCATTTTGGGTTTTCCATTACAAATTTTTAAAATACATCAGCGACCTCAAAAACCAAAGTATATCAACTCTAAACCTTTAACGCAGTTTCATTTCGGGAAGTTACTTAAAAAATGTTTTTATTTCTTGTTCCTTTAGTTGTTTTTTAAGTTCCTTTAGTTGGTTTTTAAGTTTTTTTTATTGTTTAAATCCGAAATGTTCAATGAAAAATGTCTTCTTTTGTAGGTCTTCTTTGCGATCTTCTTTGGTCCGATCCGGACAAAGACGTGCAAGGGTGGGGCGAAAACGATCGCGGCGTTTCGTTCACGTTCGGCGCGGACGTGGTCGGCAAGTTCCTCAACCGACACGATCTCGATTTGATTTGCCGCGCTCATCAGGTGGTCGAAGACGGTTACGAGTTTTTCGCGAAACGTCAGTTGGTCACCCTGTTCTCGGCGCCGAACTACTGCGGCGAATTCGACAACGCCGGCGGCATGATGTCCGTAGACGAAACTCTAATGTGCTCATTTCAGGTAAGATTTTTTTTAACTATAGGTCCACTGTCTCATTTGGTTGCGACTGCGGGGTATCTCCATGAACGTTTTTTTAGTAAGTAAATGCGTTTATGGGTAATTTTCATATAGTTTTAATATACCACCATCCAATTATATTTGACACTTAAGACATAAATAACACTCATAAACTAAGAAAACATAAACAAAGTAAAAAAAGCACTCTAATCAAACTCCATGGAATTTGTAAACACATTAGACTTTATACTAAAAGTAAAAAAATACCTGCTAATGGGAAAAACCATTACCAAAAGGGTAAGAGTAGCCCAATTAAAATACTGGGCCCACGCATATGTTTTGGGTGTGATAAAGTATACAAAAACTTACTTTTCCTGTTTTTTCCGAAAATGCTCAAAATTCTCAAAATGCTAAAAATGCTCAAAATTCTCCTTTATATAAATTCTCGGTTTTTTTTTCGTTTATGCTCGTTTATTCTCGTTCATGCTCGTTTGTGCTCGTACGTGCTCGAGAATTTTACATCACTATTAAAAACACATATAAAACATTTTCTACCAAAATTGTTTAAAAAGTTAATTTTTTTTAATCTTAAAACAATTGATAATCAAAAAATATTTTAAATATAAAATGTAAATGTAAGTTTAAAATATACGCTAAAGAAGTATCGCTAGTAGCGCCACCGCTCGGCTGTTATCATCGTAACAAAAGTAGAACTTTTGATAATCAGCTGTCAAACGCTTAGGTTACAAATGAGTGTTTTTAAGAATAAAGCCGGAAAATGTTAAAAAATATCGAAAAAAACCGTGGATCTATTTGTTGTGTTGTTGGGTGTAGTTTGAGAGGAAATCATGGGTTTTTACCGGTTTTCCAATAAACAGTGTTAATCTGAATGAAGAAATAAATTGCATACAGTCTCTGTAAATATAAATTGTACCTATTAGATACAATAAATACATATTTTAATAGTGATTAACGTGAAAAGTGTAAACATTTCAATTCAGTAAAAATCGTCAAACAAATAATGCTGGATTTATGCAGCACACATTAACATTAAGGTAACATTAAGATTAAGATTAACATTAACATTAAGAATTTAAATGAATGTAATCCATTGGAAGCTTTTATGCAACACATTAACATTAACTTTAGCATTAAGTTAACATTAAGAGATGGCCAACTTTTATCTTCTTAATGATAATGTTAATTTTTATTCCTCCTGCGCAGGTTTGCGGCGCAATTTTTAAATAAACCGTGTCAGTAATGCCAACATAGCCGAAAATAAAATGAAACTTAATGCTGAATGATTGATTTTTTATTCAATGATTGTGTTCTTTGGTTTATTGTTTGACGTGGAGTTTATAGTTTTCATTTATTTTACTTAGCAGATGCTAAAACGGGATTAAAACAAAATTCAAACAAACCAAAAATGTCAGATGTCAAAATTACTTTAACTTATACGCATGCTTAATTTCCTATTAATTTTGCTGCATAAATACCCTACTATTAATGTTAAATTAATCTTAATCTTAATGTTAATGTTAAAGTTAATCTTAATGTTAATGTGTGCTGCATAAATCCAGCATAAGTCGTCTAAATTTAAACAGCATTTAGCATTATTAAAAGCGTTGCTTAAGAATTCTTTAAAGTCTCCACTCAGCGGTAAAATACCATTATATTATGTTTTATATCGGCCATTCCAAGCCCATGGACAGGACACATCAGAAACATGTCTAAATATATTCTTGTTACTTCCTTAAGTTTACTTATTTTTTCTACGAGTATTTATGAGAAGTATTAGCCAAATTTGGCTAATACTTCTCATAAATACTCGTAGAAAAAATAAGTAAACTTAAGGAAGTAACAAGAATATATTTAGACATGTTTCTGATGTGTCCTGTCCATGGGCTTGGAATGGCCGATATATAATATTATGTGGCTATGAATTCGTAGGTATATTTTGTTGTTTAAAATGCAGTAGTCGGCATTTTTTAGAGAACTCAAATATAAAAATGATTGATTTTGAGGTTATGTTTGTGCAAAAACTATTTTTTACTAATTTCTTAAAAATGTACAAACTTAAATATAAATTACATTAGGTAAAGTTATCATTAGTTAATGTACTTACCGAATTGGATCCTTTGGCAAAACATGAAAATGCAACGATTTAGTTCTTGAATTTTATTTAGGTACTATTGAAAACACAATTATTCACCATGTTCCCTTTGATAAAATACACACACGAACGTAACTATATAAGCATTTAAGCGTTGAGTTTCTTAATCAATGATATAAGGAATAATCAATCGAAATCGAATACTATAAAAGTTTTTTAATTTTTTCCTTGCAACGTAAAACACAAATAACGTGCGCGATTTAGCTGTGCAATTGAACAAAATTTGTAGAGTAAGATTTCTTGCCTTCCTCTCTTTTATAAAAAAACTACCTATTTATTTAAAAATGATGTATAATCTGTGCTTTAAATTTATTGTTGACAATTCTTAAATTCAGGCAATGCATTCGAAGTCCGCCATCAGGTGGCGCGCGTTGCGAAAACCCGATACTTCTTTAGCGTATTGGTTTTTAAAAATTGTAGTTTTAATATAATATTCTCCAAATTATTGGTTTAAATTTGTAAAGAGTCATTTAAATAATAGTCGATAATTTTTAATACAATACTTATTCGTTTTACAAGTGTTGAAAAGCGACTTTTTTATGGGAGTGTTGCTTGAAGAAACCTTTGCTCACAAGTGAAACAATGTTTTTTCTACAAACCTTTTATTTTTTAATATTTTTAAATACAAAACAAAATAACCTAAAAACGTGTTTGACAGCTGTTAAAATTACTTTCATCCTTCTCAACTTAAATAAAGGCACTAAAAATTAGAATTTATTATACAAACACAATTAATTGTGTTCTTAATAATATTAAGACATACAAATTTTAATAAAATTACGCAAATTCGAAGAAATCAAGCTTGTTGTACGCCTGAATATCAAACTAAGAAGATTATATTCAGGATCTTCAACACTGAGTTCTGCGCATTTGCAGAGATAAAGAAGGTATCTTTTTAACCTCTATTATTTTGTGCATATGTCAAGCGTCGAACCTTTACCAATGTAAATAAGAAAATTATAATGTAATTATATTATAATATTTTAAATTATAATAAAACCTTCTTAGTAGTAAACAGAACCGTTTGTTAAAACAGTGAGCAAATTTATGAGCTAATCAGTATTACAGTAACTCTAGTTGGAGCAGAAAACGTAAACTGTAATGATGTTAATTTTGGTCATCAGTAATGTATTTTCACGTAAAAAATGACTGAATTTTGCAATGTAAAATCAGTCGATTTCAAGTTCTTTGGTATAATTATTACACTGTATTGTTTTGTTATAAACTTACTGATGGTATTTCAAATAACTGATGTACAGGTCCATATTTTAGAAATTTCAGCCCACAGTGATTGAGCACTGTGTTGCGAGAAATAAATAAATATTTCTTCTTTTCTAACTATTTACTCTCTCTTTTGAGAAAATTTGTCTTGAGTTAAGTTTACAGACCAACTACAAGTATTCTGCCCAACTATGGAGAAAGGTAGTAACTGCTAAACAAGAAATCTGTGGAAAATTGGCATAAACTAAATTTTTATAAAAAGCAGATATTTAATTGATTTGAGTGTTTAATTGAATTCTTAGTTGAATTAAGATACAAAATGTCCATAGCTTTATCATAGTACAAGAAAACGCATTAAGAATTTTTTTGTAGTTACCGCCTTTCTCCATAGTAGGGCAGTATTAAAGTCCAGTGGCTCTATTAAGATCCATCCGCTAATGGACAACTTCTACGGAAATATAGTCAATATAATGTACAAATCATAAAATACCTTGCTAAAGCTTGAGATATTGTCAAAAAATACAGGTATATTTTTATACAGGGACTTCATTTTAGTCCCTTCCAGGTCGAAAAGTCACCTTTATTTCACACTGTTTCATCGATCAAACCATACTCTGAGAGACACAAAACGGGAGTTCAAAATAACTAAATATTTATTATTTCAAAATAAACTCATATATTAATTCTGCACTAAATTTAACAAACAAGCTATTAAACACGCTAGCATTATACTGGTTGGACAAATGAAGTATCAAAAGTTTTGTAGACGGTATTTAGAATTTTCTGTCGGAACAAGAGTACTTTTTATTGTGTACCATTTACCAATATTTTTTTAATACATTTTTGGAAGATATAAAAATGTACCTTAGAGTCAAGCTGTATCAAAAACTATGTAAGCCAGGACGTAATCCTATTTACCATTGGAAAGAGCGGAATGATTTAAAAAAAGTGTACTTAATACATTTTGGTTCTGGGGTACAGATATACTAAAATAAAATAGGTAAATCAAGTGGTGTGTTATTAAAAAAATTATAAATTAAGATCATATCTTTGAAACGATACATTAGAAAGAAAGGGTTTGAAAAAAAGTACTTGAAAACTCCAAATCACAACTAGAATGAAACTCAATGTACCACTTTTAGTTTATAATTATTTTAAATATAGTAAATTATACTTTTTAAAATGTATTTGTACCTCTTTAATTAATTGTAAGTAAAAAAATTCTATGCTTTTTATAGATATTAAAACCATCCGAGAAAAAGGCAAAGTACCAATACCAAGGGGCCAACTCGGGCCGTCCATCGACACCACAAAAAAACCCGACAACAAAAAAGAAATAAAGAAAAAAAAATCTGCCTGACTTTTATTATGTTTTTGTTTTTTATCAGTGCATTTTAAACAGCGAATTAACATTCTATTAAAAAAACCAGTCAGTCTATTTAGTGCAAAAAATATGTATTGTATATTGTTTAACGTTAAATTTAGTTCTAATTGACTGATTATACAATGATTAGTTTTCGACTGACTGTGGAATTGTAATTTTATGTTTCTGTATATTTTTAGATTTTTATTTAATTTAACTTGTTTTAAAGGGCCCAAGTAACTGTCAGTATTATTTATTGGTTGCGATTTTTATGACAAAAAAAAACATGTTTGATTTATTACTTGTGCCCTTCATTTGCATTTATGTATTTATTAGACGGCCAAAGAATTTGTGATTCGGCATTAATATACTAAAACACCAATTTATTTGAATATTGTTGCCTGTCTATCACTACATTTTTCCTAAATTATTTCATAATTTCATATAACAAGAAAATTCACATCTAATCACCCCAATGGTTTAGACTGTCTGCAATCTGTTTATTACACGTACTATATTTTTATTATTTTGTTTGAAACAAAAAGCAAAGAGTTTTATTGTAATAATGTACTTTCAATAAAAATAAATATATATTACTAATTATAATATCTATTTTCTTTACCAAATTCACCAAGGTTGCGCATGTGGTTCCAATTTTTCTGATTAAAGAAGTAAAAAGTTCATTTAATGAACATAATTACAAAAACGTAATGCAAACTAGACTTCCTTTCCCAGAAAGATATGTAAATTTTTGACCTCGATTTTTGCTGGTGTTAGTTTGTCCTCCGGTCAAAAATAGTCACCTGTTTGGCCTATTTTTAAGAATTTTTATGAATCCTGTCAAAGCTGTTTTTAACAAATTTTTTAAAATAATGTTAATATTCTTCAACGAAATTTACTTTTCACCGTTTGAATAATGTTGAATTCTTGAAATAAAACCACTGGTTAAAAAACAATTTCTTTATTTCGAAAAACATTTATAATAATTATGATAATAAAGAAAAAATATAAATTTTCTATAGCATTAGATATATCATATATATAAATAAGGGGGTACTGTACAAATAAATAAATGTTTAATAATAATAAATGTAAGTATTGTAATAGTTTTGAACAGCATGAGTATAACACAAATACCAGCAAATTTATATCATATTTGGTAGACAACATATATATTTCTCCGTGTTACAGGACTTTTTCAATTATATTGTATAACATTAGCACACAAAATAGATACTACAGTTGGCGGGATAGAGTAAAAAATATATCTCATTTTAATGTACATCAATTACATTAGGTAAAAGAAACTTCGGACATGGATTCCAATTACAGTGAAGAAATGATTACGGCAAGGTACATAGCGGATAATGTATTGGCTTTACTATTTATTTGGTCTTTTATACAACAAATATTCGACAGTTACATTGACTAATGTCTATCTATTGTTGAAAAGTTGATGAATATAACTTGTTCTAAGCGGTGTTTTAAGAAAATTATTTGTTGTAAAAAAGCCATACATTAACATAGATCAGTCACAATGATATCTTATAATATTGAGTAAAGCAACACAACATACATTATATCAATAATTTTCATTTTTTCTCCCTATCTAAGATAAATTCGTTCTTTCAATTTAAAATTATTAAAAAGGTAATAACTGGACTATATTTACAATTTTTTGATAATTCACTCCTCAAAATTCATTCCTGTTTCCATACCTCACGGCTATTAAAGCTCTAAAATGTTTTGCTGTTCATCAATGTTTTTTTTTAATTATATTAAATTTTATGCAGATATTTACAAGTGTTTAAAGGAGTACCGCACAACAGCTAATCAGTCATAGTAGAATTTTTAATATAAAAACATCGCCGTTTCTTCAGCACTCCCCAAACCATCACATACATTTAGTTAACATATTTGGTAAATAAATAATATACATTTTTTGGCATCTTGAAATACATACACAAATAGACTTTGGTATTTTTTTGGTAAAAAATGTCTTACGTTCAGTAAGCCTAATTCAATTATTTTTGGTACATCACACTTAGGTTACTTAATTGAATAGTTTCACTGTTTTGTCTTAAATTTTTAACAATTGTCTTTCCATGAAAACCACCATCTATCTCGACAAGATTTATGTATTTCGCGTTTTTTCCTCAACTTTAAAGGATCAGATTTTTTGGTAAACTTTATGTTGTACGGGTCCTCGGAGAGTTCAGGGTACTGTTGCACATCGTGAATGTAATTTCCTTCGTAACCGGTGACGTAGCCGTTCTTCATTATCTCCTCCACTTCGTTCGCCAGCCAATCTACCGAACCGGAGAATCCGCTTTTGAGCGCCTCCTTTTCTTTGTGCCACGCCTTCCTGATAGCCGACAATTTGGCATGATGAAGAAGTCTTTGTTTCTCCTTTTCCATGGTTGTTCCGTATCTCAAGTTAATCACCGCATTTGAGCCGTGTATCTTCACATCGTAGTAGTTGTTACCGCTACCGTTCTCTTTGGCAATTTCATGGAAAGTCGTGTTGACTTGCCCTTGAAGCCGCTTTAATTGACCTTTATCATCGTTTGCTTTCCACGTCTCTTCCTTGACAAAGTAGAAAGCGTCCTGTTGGGCGCTATGAACGACAAAAGTGAATGGCAGTATGTAGCTCCTATTAAATACGGAAGTGTAGACGTCCCTGTAAATTGCATTGGCTGCTGGTACGCTCGATATGATGGCCTGCGACTTGTCGTTCCTCGATACTAAAATGCCTTTGCCGAATGGTGGGTCCGAAGAACCTCCTATTTTCTTTGGAACCAAATCCATAACGTCGGTTTTTAGAGCGGATTTTATCGGAGCCGACAATTCTTTGGCAGTCTTCATTTTCCTCGAGTCGATGTGAGCCAAAAATCCTGATTGGATTTCGGTGGAAGAAAATTGGAGGCTGAGTTGATTACTCAAGCTGGATTTTGATGGATCCCAGAACGTTGATGGTCGTGTTAAAAGTGGAGGCATTTTACCACCTGGTAAATTATCAGGGAAAAGTTGTGGTGCAAGGCTTTGCAGGTTGACGCCCATTTTCCTTAACCAATCAATATGATCTAAAATTACGAGTTAAATTATTATTTAGGTTTAAAAAAAATTATGTCGCGTAGTACCTGTTGGTCTTTTCCTTTCAACGCCCATATTAATGGGGTCATTACCATTAAATCTGTATAAATGGAGGTGTGTGGGAGTTGCTACCCTTTCCAAAACGTTTTCCCAAAGAGGGGACATCCATTGGCCAATTAGAGGATCATAAACTTTTCCATTGGGCATGTGAACCAATGAAGTCACCTTAAACAATTTGTTCAAGAACATACCATCAAAAATATATATATGTATCAGAATTCAGAAAAAAGGCATTCTGAATAGGTGTTAAAATATTTACCTGGTCCAACAATCCGCCACAGAAATCAATAGGCAAATACAAGTAGGGATTCGAATCATAGACAATATGGCCGTATGGACTTCTCATAATTTCCCTGATGCCTTCACCGTATTGGTTGAAAATCATGACAGGTGTGCCACACTGATCTGTTGCTACGTAATATTTGTGCCTATAGACTTGGGCGTAAACCAAATGACCTCTGTCGTCATAGACTAGCGACATAAGTTTTCCATCTCTTGGCGAGTAAATTTGACTGACTTCTCTTGGGCGGAATTCGTTGTTGTAGAAAAATTGAGTCACGTTGCCAAAGTTATCTTTTCTTGCAGAAAGTCTAAAATTATAAGGTGATTTTTGATATTCTAAGGAAGTTTTAAAATGTAAATTACCTGTCCATATGATCATAGAAGTATCGAACATCAAATCTGCCTCGTTTTGTAGCTCGTATTAATAAACCTTTAGAATTATAATGAAACTTTTCCTCTCTAGCATTTTGAGTTACAAGTCCTCTTGTATCATATTTGTATTGACCTTCAGCGAACTTAATAATTCTATCCATATTGTTATAGTCCATAGGAATTGTATTACCCCTGCAAACACACAAATGTATTTTTACTTTTAGCAAAAAATAATTACTTTACCTGTAGGTAAGTGACAACATGTTTCCATTGTCATCATATCGGAATCCCCAGGGTTCTTGGGCTTCGACACCCAAAAGTTGACCGTCACAATCCCAAGTGTAATTCTTTACATTCGTGTACGTGTTAACACCAACATTCTTTGTGTAGGTTCTAGTCTGAGAAATTCTTCCATGCATGTCGTGAGTGAACTCCATTCTAAAGACTTCCATGCCGTGAATAGTTAATGATATTTGTGTTTCCAAGAATTTGGCGTTAGTTTTGCTCGTAAACAAAGCAGTTCCATCGTAAACTTGTGTCTCGTTGTGTTTTGGTTTGCTGATCTTAAAGGGTCCAATCATATCTAAAGCGCCCGTTTTGCTCTTGTAAGCTAAATTGTACAGCGGCAAGTTTTGTCCGCCTATTCTACCGGCAGCGTTTATAAGTCTATAGTTGTTATCGTACTCGTATGTAAATTTGGCATTGCTAAGACCTGTCTTTGCACCAAAGTCAATTCTTTCTTCAGTTAAAAGTCCTCCTGTAAATTGGTAGTCCCATCTACATTCAATGTCTTGATCTATGCTTGATACTTGACTGGGAAGACCGGAAGTTTCAGAATACAGGTACGTTGACTTTCCATCACCATGCACAACTTCCTTTAGCTTACCATTGGGATAATATCTGTACACAACTCTAGCTCCTTCACCAGGGAAAACAGTTTGCAATAAATGGCCATTGTGCGAAAAATGTTGAAGGTACGCTCTGGTGCTACCAGGAGGCGTGTAGGTAGCCCTCAAGAAACCAATCGAAGGTTGAAGACTGAATGAATGCTTAGTACCTCCAGGTAAAGTGACATGCCTTAAACCTCCATCATCATCATATGCCAAAGAGAAGCTTCGTTGACTTCCCAATGTAATTTTGGAAAGCATATTCCAGTCATTGTATGTGTAACTCTGGGTGCCATCCAAAGCGCTGGTTATCTCAGATAGACGCCCGTGACGGTCGTAGCTGTATTTAAGTTCAGTGTTACCCCACTTCCACCCGTCAATTCTATTAAAATTGTCGTATGAAATATTTAAAGGATTCGCGCCATTATGTGGGAAATATGACAAGGGCAAACCAGATGGGTCATACGAAATTGTCAGCAAGGGAGTCTTATCGTGATCGAAGAAAACCTCCCGACTTGTGTACTGGCTGAACTCGATTCCCAAAATTTTAGAGCCATTCACAAATATTTCTCGGTTAAGTGTTTGCTGAGGATTCCTCACGTCACCAACCAAAGTAAACGTTGTGCTCATTACGTTTACGATTCCGTCTCCGTACGAAGTGATTTGTTCTGACCATACAGGTAACATCTCAGCTTCTACTGGCAAAGAGGCTTCTAGCAATGGATGACGTTCTATAGCTGATATTTTCATGTATCCATCCCAAGGTGAATTGACTGCTACTGACGAGTTCGTAAGAGTAATTGCTTCGGTTTTTTCTTCGTCTAAAAGTAATAAAAACAATAGAGTAATGGTATTTTATTTTAATATAATTAAACTTACTATCATATAAGATCATTTTCTTATTTGATCTGCCAGTGACAATTAAATCTGTAGGTGGCTTACTGACATGTACTTGCAAACCTTCTACATCGGCTATCTTGGAGGATAAGGTCAAAGTTTCGCCGCTAGATAATATAACACCAATTGCTCTACCATACTTGTCATATTTGTACATAAACGTTTCTCCGCCCTATAAAATAAATATATATTTAATGTAAGTTCGAAATTACTATAGTTGGGCTTACCCCTGATCTACTTGTGAGCAGCCCAGTATTAAGATCATAATCCAACTCAATTTCAGATTTTCCCTTTTCGCTCAATTTAACCAAATAACCTACACCATTTATTTTTAGTTCGCTTTTATGGTCCTGTGTATTTTCTATAGAGCTAACAGCGTTACTATAATCTCTTAAAAATTGTATTTTGTTTCCTGAACTGTCAGTGACAGTGGACAATTTGCCGAAACTGGTATTCTTGGAGTAAAGGAAAGAGTAACGTGTTTTGTCAGAGGCCAAATCTTTAGTTGCCACATGTTGCCCATATCGGTTGAAAACGTAAACTTCTCCAGCAGCGGGATACGGAATTCTAAATTCCCCATTTTCGTCGTGCATTGGAAGGTAATGTTCCAAAGCCAAAATATGCAAAGACCCTTGGTCGGCTACATGCAGAACTCCGCCAGGTGAAACTGTAAGAGCTGAGATAGCTTGGAATCTTGCGTTTGAAGACAATAGAGTTTCTGCGTTACTGGTCGTTTCTTCGGTAGCGCCGCAGATACAAGCTGGTGGAAGTTCTTGATTCTTAGGACTTGGTGTTGTTAAGTTTACACCGCAGTCGCAATTATTCCTCTGGCTGTCCTGTACTTTACCAGCAAAATGAATAATCTTTCCGGAAGTGTCGATTAGACGAATATAGTAGATATTCCTTGTATCGCTTTCAGCTATGTACATATCACCATTTGGGGCGAAAGATAGAGCCAATATAGTACCCAAAACATTCTCACTGATGACTTTGGTGGCATTTTCATCTCTATGACAATGCAGAGGAGTACCTGCCACAACTTTCAATTTCATGTCCGCAGTAAGTCTAAGAACCAAGCGATCATCAATGAAATGCAATGAACCATCTAAAGGTGATAAAGCTATTCCAGTGGGCCATTGCAATTGAGCCTGATTGGCAGGTATAGCTCCCTTACAAGGGATGGGACTCCAATGATTATGATGTCCATGGTTTCCAATTATTGTATGAATAATACCTCTCGCATCTACCACTCTGATATTGGTACCATCAGCGATATACATTGTTTTATCTGCGGCGATTGCAATACCCTTTGGATGAGCAAGTCTTGCATATTTGGCTGGACCTTCGTCGCCACAGTTACTGTCATCACCAGGTATACAACGTTCACCGTTGCCAACGACTGGTTCGCTGTTAATGTTGGGATCTTGGATGGGCTCAAGTGACAGCACTCTTAGAATTTGATGTTTTTCTGGATCGGATACGTATAAGTGACCATCAGCTGGCGAAACAGTTAAGTGGTATTGGTATGCAACTTGTGTGGCACTTAATTGAAGTACTGTGTAGACATTTCCTTCCGGGGTGATTCTTCTAACCAAGTTAAAATCACCAACGTAAATGCTTCCATCTGGACCACTAGCTAATGAGCCTGGCGTTAGAAGTTTTGCATCCTTGGCAAGACCTCCGCATTGCCCTGGACAATCTAATGACCTTTGCAATCCTGTCCCCATAACCACGTTTACAGTCCTTGGATACTGTTTAAAATGTAAAGTTGAGCCATCTCCTTTTTGTAAAATACCTTCATGGAAGTTGTAGTGATGGTGAATATCCAATCCCCAGCCTCCAATATCGGAAATATCAACATCAAATCCTTTAAGATCGGCGGTTTGGGTTTCCCATACAGGTTCTGGGCAAGTGTTATGTTGGTAACCAATTGAAACCTTAGCTTGAGCAATACCATATACTTTTTGTTTGTAGACATTCCGCTTATTCCAAGCAAATATATGCATTAGATTTGGATCTGCCTCGTAAGTTTTGATGTGTAAGAACCCTTCAACTTCAACTCTTACATGAACATGAGTTAAACTCTTTGGTATTTCCGCGCCGGTAAGTTTCATGTAGATGGTGCTCATATACCCGCTTGTCTGCGAGCTTTGATAGAGTATGTACAAGTCTGATCCTGGTATTGGTATCGATTCTTGCACTATTTGGGTTTCGGCAAAAACAACGCTACGGCCCTGCATCCCACCGACTGCTTCGGGCATCCAAGTTCCCGTTATAAGTGGGTTTAAAAATTCTGGATCATGTTCCTCGCAAGTATTTGGAAGAACGCCATTTGAAGTAAAGAGGGATCTGGAGACACCTGGGAAGTTTATCGCTGGATTGCGACTTAAGAAGCTAAAAATAATTTGTTAGTTTTTTTTAAATTTTTATTAATATATGTATATTACCTGCTGTGGCCATTTTTATTCGATAATTCATCGGCAAGTTGCATTTCTACAGGAGGAAGTACAACAATTTGATTCCATGGTACAAAAACGGTTTTGATTAAAGGTTTAAATGGTGATCTTTGGAATTGAAGTGTTACTGCGCCTCCACCATTTACTAGGACGTCGAACCTAAATATTGTTTAATTAAATAAATATATCGTCAAGGGCATAGTGCATATGGGTCAAATAACAAGGTGGTATTCAGTTTTGCAGTACGTGCAGTTTTTATTTAAAAAATATAAAATTATAGGCAGGTAGGTAAAACTTTTCAAAAGGCTTTGGGAGAAATGTAGCACTTAGAGGTTAAGATTTTTTTGTTGACAACTATAAACAATAACATAATTTGTTCACGATTATTACGGAATATAGGCGTTCCAATTTTTAATGTGGAAATACATTAAGACTGATTATATATGTAAGAGTATTATTCTCTTATTATTAGATAGTTTAATAGTTGCATTATAATACAAACTACGCATTACTCAATGTGTCGAGACCAAAAAATTCGTTCTTTTTCAAAACGACATAACTTTTTTGTTTCTTGAACCATTTTATTTTGGCCTGTGACGTCTGCTAGCCCCATCCTCTGGCAATTCATGATATAGATATGAAATCTCAAGGTTCTTTAAGTAAATTCCCTACAGGGTGATATGTTAAACGGTGAAAAATTTCAATAACTTCATCCTAGCCCCGTTTGTAAAAAAATAATTTTTTCTCGTTTTTACTTTAAAATAGTGAGGTATTATGTCTTACCTTAAAACTTTTTTCAAATTTTTCGAATTGGAATCTTAGCAACGAAAATATGATTTTTTTTCCAAAAGAGAATATTTAAGGCTTTTTTTGTGGGCAATACAGTTTTTAGGAACAAGAAGATAAGATGGTGAAAGATTGTTCCTTATATAATTCTGAACAAGCTACAAGCAACAAACAAAAAATCAAGAATATCCCTCATAATGCGTTTTGAATGTTTTTTAAGATCTAATTTAAATTTGATCCTCGATTTAATCATTCAGCGACATGATAATAACGTACTAAAGATGCAAAACACTAAAAAAAAACAGTAAAAACCAGCAATTGTATTATATTATGACATTTAACAGCCGGGAATTGGTTTCGAATCTTGATTCTTGGTGATTTTGGTTTTATCTGAAACTTACAAGTTTGTTGCTTGTTGCTTGTTCAGAATTATTCAAGGAACAATATTTTACCATCTTATCCTCTTGTTCTTAAAAAGACTGTGTATTGCCTACCAAAAAGCTTTTGAAAAAAAAATCATATTTTCTTTGCTAAGATTCAAATTCGAAAAATTTAAAAACCTTTTCAAGGTAAGACATAATACTTCATTATTTCAAAGTAAAAACGAGAAAAAAAATATTTTTTATACCAACGGGGCTTGGATGAAGTTATTGAAATTTTTTACCGTTTTACATATCACCCTGTACGAAATTTACTTGAAGAACCGTGAGCTTTATATCTATAGCATGAATTGCCAGAAGATGGGGCTAGCAGACATCACAGACCAAAATAAAATCGTTTAAGAAACAAAAAAGTTATGTCGTTTTTCGAACTTTTTGGTCGCGACACATTGAGTGGTGCGCAGTTTAAGAATGTATATATCTTTTGGGATGAAAATAAACAATTTGATTTGATTTTATATTTTACAAAATTTGATTAGTCTTAATAATTAACCTTGATGACCTTTATTTTTATACTGCTGGCGTTACTATAATCTTTTTGCGAAGGTTAGTGAATCAATTTTAAGAATTGGCCGCCGTAAAGATGTGATTTAACATCACTGGACTACTTTCTCTAATAAAAGCATTAAAGTTTAGAGAAATAGTGATAGAAGTAGATAGCTCCAATACAGTACTAGTTTAAGAAAATTTAATATATTTATACCGTAACCAAATTTGCCAACTTGATGATGTTGACCCATATATTTATGTATGTTGAGATTATTTTTACTTACCATCCTCCCTGTCTCGTTAGGGTAAATCCAAACTTAGAGTCCTTATCCACGGATACTCTGATTCCAACAATCCCTAATCCTTGTGGGGTGACAACTTGACCTCTCATAACGGCAACACGGCTACACCAAAATATCAATAAAATTATACAAAAATCCAATTGCAATTCATCTTGCACTTAGAAAATCCTTTTATCATTTAAGATTTTATAAATGCATTAAGGTAAAGCGTATTTTTGTCTTTTTGGTTTAATAAAAATATAGATAAACTAGAGCCTTGAAGTAGGCCAAGTTTATAATGCAGTTAATTGATAATAAAATTTACCGAAACCCGATGCCTGTTAAAAAACCTTTTGATTAAGTTCATTTAAAGAAATTAAAAATAAAGTTAAAACAACTTTTATTAGAATATTAAAGTTGTTTAAAGAAGGGAAATGCATTTTTAGATTCAATTATGAAAAGGAAATGTGTATTGAAATGTTTGCTTGCAATTTATGTCTTAACCCAGGTTTATATTTATGGCATAACTAAATTATATGCAAAATTTATATATTTTTAAAAAATTATCCTTTAATTATATTTAAAATTGTAAATATCTTTCATCTAAAATTTGAAGATTATTATTAAACCAAAATATTCATGCAATTATGAGCATTGATATAAAGCTATATTATAAGCTACTTATATTACAATTACAGCATGACTTTAAAATGAAAATATTTATAGTGAAATACATCTAATAACCTATTTAAATTATTGCTTTACTGTAATTGCAATATATTTGTGCTGGCATGTATATCACGAATCCACTACAACTTTATGATACTCAATAAAAGTTATATAACATCAATTTTTTAATAACATTTACTGTTTATTATTTGTGAAATTGTGGCGCAAAATTTTGACTAGTGCTGGGCTAAGATCAAGAGATGCACACTTTTATTTTTAAACCTAATATAAATTAAATAAAGTTTTAATGAAACTTCTTAAACTACTTTGTTAGTTTTATACATTGTATATTTAAAGTTGCATTAATAAATATGGATGGCTTAATTTAACTTTTAAACGCATGTTCCTATTCCTCCAACACGTTATTCATTATTCATAAAAAAAATTAACTTTTATTTTGTAAAAATTATTTTTTAGTATAAGAATTGGAAATCGTAATATAATAATAATACAAATATTAGGCTGTGCCTCCACTGACGGCAACGGTGCATTACATTACATCTATAGAAGGGTAGTTTAATTTAATTTTTTACAGCAAATTCCTAGTTCCTATTTTAAAGTCATAATTTTAACGGTTTTTAAAACTTTTTATAAAAATACCTATTATTATTATTATTATTAACATTTAAAAAATATCAAGAATAAAAATTTAAAATTTGTTGATATTTAAAACTTAATTTTATATTAACTTAAAATCTTCTTGTCGAAAATTCTTTTTGTATTTTTAAACTTAAAAAAAATAGTATATTATGTATCAAGTTTGATAAACGCAATTTTAGCCACGCATTTTAATTAAGGACGAGCGAGCTTGCCCTAAATAAGTGTCTAGAAAAGTTTATACTTACTATAGGTACTTTTTCTACGACAATTACTAATTATCTAAAAATTGATTTAAATAAATATTTGTATAGAGCGCCATCTATAAAACAATAGAGTAACTATTCTAACTGGAGAATCTGTATTATTGGCGCGCCCGTCAAAATGTGTAAATCCAAATTTATCTCTTGAAAATGGACTAACCGCCGTTTAAATCCGATATACATAGAAGCAGTTTTTCACAGTGAAAGTGAAGATACAGTTTTATGGGCACACCAGCCAAAATTTTTAATGGTTAATCAGTTAAATCTAGTTTACTGCTGGCGAAATCAAAATTTCATTACAAAGTGCGTTTAAACTTTTCAAATATTGGCGTTTGAGAAATTTAATGCTTTTGTATTTTTGTATTGAGATCATAAAATAATTTTCACTTTAAGTATTATTTTACAAGAAGGGCACTTTATTTTAACGATTGTATGACATTTAAAAACAGACAACTAACTTCAGCACGTGACTAAAAACCTGTTGCTAACTTCAGCCCGTGACTAAAACGCCATAACGTCACAACTTGTCAATGTGTATTTAAAAGGTCTCTTTATGAAAACATGTACGATAATGGGCGTTTTAAAGGTGGGAGTAGAAAAAATATATTGAGGTATGCCTATAGCTATAGCTATAGTGCGCCTGTATTTGTACATATTTGTCAATAAACAGTCGATGATACCAAAACTTTAACTAACATATTTTTAGATTTTAAACATTTTTGTTGTTTATTTATTAAAAATACCTACAAGTATTTTCATAATAATAGTACCTATATTATTATACGAAAGATAATGCGCTTTATCTGGAGTGTAATACTTTTTTACAAATGTAATAATAATCTTTTAAAAAAATTAAGGTTATAATAAATTTTGCACTAATACAAATTACCTAATTGGTCAGTTCCAACCTCACTTTTTACCGATTGGTTGAAATCACAGTGAATATTGTAATCGGCCAATCACTGATGCCTAACAAGGTCATTATTTCCATCCAGGCAGGCGGATATAATGGTTATTTTTATATAGGTGAAACACAAAGTATGTCAATAGTATGCAATATGAGTTGAAAAAATAAATAATCTGATTAATCCCGGCGCATTCACCATTTTTGTAAAACACCACTGTCTCGAAAATGGCACACTTTTGGTAACCACGCTGTTGGAGTTTATTTTAAATCGGTAGATTTTAAGTTATTATAGGGTTTAAAAACTGAATTTAATTTTTGTTATTTAAATCTGTTTAAAAGGATAACCTCTGGTTTCAAAATTGAAAAGTTATAATTTCTTATTAATAACAAAGTTATAATAATTTAAAGTTCTATATGGTTATATTTCAAAAAGTTGGCCACTTGCTGTCCTGAGGTTAGAAATTAATATTTTCGTAACTAAAATGAAATCTGAAGAAAAGATATGATGAAACAATCCTTAGGCTCTTTAAATTATGTAAAAAATCTCCCAATAAGGTATTGAAAATGTATTAAAATTACCTTGAAATATAGTAAATGTCCAATACGTGGCTGTCCCCAGAAAACGCTTTCTCAACAAGGTAAAATATCTATTGTAGTTTGTAGTACGTGCCAAAATTAAACAAGGTGAGTAAATTATTTCATGTTTATAGGTGTAAATAAGAAATACTTAATTAATGTATGAGTGCGTACACTTATTAGTAGTCTTTTCTGTGACACTTGCTAGAGTATTAGTTTTTTTCACCAATTTTTTTAGATGTAAACCATTCTAAATAGTTTATCCTAAAGCTAAAGATCGCGAAACATGTGCTTGCGTCAAAAATTTTGGTTTTATCACCCAAAAACTATATTTCGAGATTTTAAACACACAGAATGAAGATGAAATCGTTAAAGGCAATTTTCAAATTATTCTTAAAAAAAGAAGAAGATACTGAATACAAAAAATGTAAATAAAAAAAATAATATTTGTAATGCCCTCTATTTTGGCGTTATGGAAAAGACAATATTTATTCTTCCTATAGTGAAAATTCGTAAAAAAATACAATCTAGTTCGTATCATTTATGACAAGCATAAAATATTCACTACTTGATTAATATTCCATAGAAATTATATGTAATGTTAGATCCAAATCACTATAGATGCGTTATTTATTTTGCTTCCATAACAACCGTTTTTAGATGTTTGATAAATTGCTTTGGGAAAGTAGACAAGTTTAAAAAACTGAAAAACATGTCGATTTTTTTAAATTTTAAGTTCTTGCATGTTGATGACGCTTCAAGGGATATTCAAGTTAAACTACTTTTGCGATCAAGTCGTTTTCTTACTGTAAAAAAGTAAAACAAAGAACGTGTATTAATTTGGTTTTTCTACCGAAATTTATGGTGCTGATGCTTAGAATGTTTCAAAATGCATTCGGAAACTTTGGTCATACGAATGTTACAAAAATTCCAAAAATGGACGCACATGTGCGTGGCGGTGTAAGAATTGGCCGGTCATCTAATCAGGACAATGTCAATGAAGTAAAGAAAATTGTGATAAAAAATGTCATTTGAACGTTAGAGATTATTCTTCACATTGTTATATCGTATAATCATATATTATATCACGAGAACTATATATAAATTTAATCGGTTAAACTAGGCTCAGTAGTTTTTTGTTTGGTTTTTGTTGGAAAATGTTGAATGCAAAATAATTTAATAAAATCACGAGACCGTAGCGGTCGAGGGGTTTTATTTTTAATTATTTTGCCTGAAACTATTTTCCAAAAAAAAATCAAATAAAAAACTTACTGAGCATACTTTGACAGATTAAATTTATAGGTTAAGTGATATACGTCTAGATTATTTCTCGAATTAAAGGAAACTATTTGACAATTCATAAAATCTGACGTTTGTGTCAAAATTTATAAATATTTTTTTAAAGAAAATTTCATTAATTTAAGGTATGTAATAAGTAATAATTGATATTTCGTAAACTAGATAACTTATTTTTTATTGTTTTTTAAAAAATGTTTGTTAAAACTTGTAAATAACACCATAAAATCGTAAACAAAAATCCAATGTGGAGGCTAAAATTTAATCGCTGTTAAATAGTTCTATTTATTTATTCGAAAATTCAAGGCTTTTGATTGGTTTATATTATAATGAGGGAAATAATCACTAATGTTTTGCTCAATTTTATTTATAGCTAGATATGGCATCATGCCCGTTTTTCTTGTTCCCCAAGCAAATTTCCATTTTAGCTTTGTTGAACGCATTTTGAAACATTGAAAACCGTCAAAGAAAATGTGACGAAGGAGCTCAAAGCCATACCAGCTAACTGTGAACCATATTGAATTTGCATGATTGAATAAAGTATTATTATTTGATTTTTAAGTTTCGTTATATTTAATTTATAATGTTTTAATCATTTAGAAGCGCGTTTCTTAATATAAATAATATTTAATTTAAATTTATGTGACTGGTTTATTACTTGTTCCGACCGTCACAGTCTTTATATGCAAAATTGGTTGCTTCATTACGAGTTTATCTTAACAATACCTTATACATGAGTATAAACAGCCTCTCCT